CTTCAAATATCCTCAGTGGTAGACGTATCGTGGGTCAGAATTCCCTGGTCGTCGAGCAACACTTGGGAGGTTTCATAGTTTTCCTTACCACGTATTACAAATGCGGGTTAGTTCCATCAGAAAGTTCTCTTGGAAAGCTAGTTTGTATCAATGCTTGATTTAGGAATTCCCTTGTCTTCTGCGTCGGGATTAAAATTACAAGGCTACGGAGTTGAACATTGATAGTCATAAATTCAGTATTGGGTCGGCTGTTCAACACCAGTTGTAAAATAAAACTAAAAAAAAAAAACAATCGCTCAGAATTAAAACAGTAATTTAATAAATAAAATAGATCTAGATATGTCAGTTACTTCCTCTTATGCTGGTGGAATCATATATGAGCTAAACATTAATATACAATGAGCTAAAAATTAATGTGCAATGAGCTAAAAATAAATATACAATGAGCTGAGAATTAATATGCAACGAGCTAAAAATTTATATACAATGAGCTAAAAATTAATATACAGTGAACTACTAATTAATTAATATAAAATACGACAACAAGTATTTAATATACAAAGAGCAAATGACAAATAATATACTACTTTCATTGCGATGAAAAAATATACTAAAAACCCTAAATAATTTCTTATTTTGCATAATTTTAATTTTGAAAAAATATTTATACATGATAAATATGCAATACATATTATAAAATAAATAAACGTAATTAAAATAAGTTTAAATCATGAGCTCAGTTGTCAATAAAAGTTTCAATGCGAAGTTCTTCCTCAAGCATAATAATTCCCTCTACTTTGAAAATAAGTAAAACAGAAATGACAGTAAATACATACCTCAACCTACATTCACAGCTATTGTCAAAATATTATTAAAAAGCATGTCTTGTGTGCCGTAATAAACTGTATTGCAAAGGCATCACTTGCTTCAAAGGTTATATTGCAACCCATAATTACTCGTTAGAGTTGAAAGAAAGTATTAATTAATGTACTTTTGAGTGTCTTTCTTTCCAAGACACAAATTTTTTTATAGTTACATATTTTTGGTTAAAAAATATATCTTAGATAGTAATTAATATGCAATCCGATAGAATATTGTACCTAACAACATAATTAACTTGTCATACTTCATTTGGCTTTTCTGTACAGTGTGCACTCGTCCCTGCAATTTTAAACAGGTATCGTAATCTCTGTAATTAGATACCACGAGATGAACTGGTTTAGTGCCCTAAGAATATCCATGATGAAATATTGAAAATTGATAGCTCTGAACCATATCCATGAAAGGAATTTTTCTAATTCAACATACTGTTTTACTCGAAACTATGGACTGACAAAAAAACATTTATTAGAACAATTACTGATTATTGCGTATACAAAATTTAAATGCGGCTTTAAAATCAAAATTTGTTTTTTTTTCCAAAATTTTTAAGTATTCTGAGAAAAGAATTCTGACCGCTTTGAATTTCAATGGTTTAATGGTTCTCAACTAATGGAAAAAGGTCACATGAGGTTAATTTTGATATAATTTTGAATTTTTTTTCCATAGCCAAACTTGAATTTTAAAAAAAATTAATAAAAAGGATTGATACTATTTATTCCGAGAGAGCATCAGTTTCGTTATTTAATTGCCACACTTCGTATTTCAGTACTATTGTTAATTATATCATCGATTACATAGTTGTATTCAAAAATTTTGATTTCAGAACAAAAAACTTAAAAATGCACTCATTCGTTTGAGTTTCTAAAATATTTTTTAACCCGACAGACAGCTTCTTGGCTAGTTGGCAATAACCATCATACTGGGTTTTACTAATAAATTTAAATTGGTTCCAATTTAAATGTATAACACATATTCTAAATACTTAAAAGAATATCAATTTTGAAATATTTTGTTCGTACAATGTCTTACTCTAATGGGTATTAAGGGGCAAACAGCAATAATTTAGAAGCAAAATTGCTTTGCTTAGACATTGATTTTGTTATTTCTTTGCAAAAATGTGCAGCTAATTACTTCAATATAAATTATATTTGCCCAACTGTTCGCCATTGTAAATGTTATTGTGAAATGGTCTAATACCTAATTTATTATTATTCTAAAGCATTTCTATGGTACTTCACTTCATTTTAAATTTCAAATATTGTTCATTTGGAAATAAACCAGTGCTTAAATATATTTTTATAGGGAAAAAAATATGAAGTTCTTAAAAATTCAAAAAGTATATAAATAAATATTTAAAAATCTTAACAAATTTCGACTGATTATTTAAATAATATTTCTTAATTAATTATTATCCTATCATCAGAAATTAAATTTTTAAAAATTATGCCTTACTTCAAGCTCTATGTAAAAAAAAGCTCAAATTTCTATTTAATTTTTGATTGTACTGAAGTTCCCTGGGAGAAAATGTTTAGCCACAATTATTTTGCTAATTACGAACGATATGTCTGTAGTGTCACAAAACTAACTACTTAAATTACCATTTTTTTTTCAACTGATGACTAATTTTATTTTGCTTAATAAAATTGAAAATAAAGAACGAGCTTTAATTAGGTAAATATGAATTGTGTGAAATGCTTTCATAATGAAACCAAAATTACTATCACAAAAACAGAAAAACAAAAAAAACAAAAATTCATAATGGCATAGACATAAATTGCCGATTTAAGCATTTTCTGTTTTAGGGCTGAAGTTCTACATTCAACCCACATAAACTTGAATAGATTCGAATCTTTCTTATTTCCTTCTTTTAAAACTTATGATTTATATTTGACATTTGACAGGCAGTAACATTTGATAGGTTTAAATCTAAACGGCAAGCTTTTTTTAAAATAGGATAGCGGCTTTTTTTAAACGATTCTTACTAAAATACTTAACTGTTAAAAAAACCTCCAAATACTTAATTATCTCTAAATGGTGGCGTATATTGTAAAATAACTATTACAATTAAGTCCATTTTCAAATACTTAATTGTTGACTTCAAGTATTAACCATTTTCGTTTAACGTCTGCTTGTGTTAAGGAAATTATAGATTTACTATTGAATCCTTGAAGAAATTAAAACATTTACTAAAAAGAAATTTCTAAAATGATATTTTTTCTAGAGTTTTACATCCTTTTCTTTGTACTTCACTGAGTTTCCCATTTCTAGAAAATGTATTGTTTGATTGCTAAATACTTTCGGAAACAAATAAAATATCCGAACCAAACATAGCAATTACTTTCTTCGGCCAATGGTCTTGGCTGGAAAACCAGATGAATCATTAGTATGCAATAATGTGTCCTTCGCAATCGGCCTTCACTTTTCTAAAGGCCACTCGTTGATAGATATGTCTTTCGATCTTTGATATGTCTGTGGTTTCGGGCAATAAATATTTGTTAAGACGAAAGGAAATCCCGCATCATGAAATTTAACTTTGACATTTGAGTAAAAGAAAATAACAGTTTGCGACAAATATTTGTTACTTTTCCCACATTTGTTTGTGTATTAAAATTAATGTTTTTATTTAAGAATGGAAAGATGTATGCGTTACACATGCGTCAAAAGTATTTCACATGCGTCTTTGATATTTGATATGTTTGTGGTTTCAGGCAATAAATGCGTGTTAAGAGGCAGGGAAATCCCGCATCACCAAATTTAAATTTGACATTTGAGTAAAATATAATACTAGTTTGCGACAAATATCTGTTACTTTTCCCTTCCCTTTTAAACGTTATTATTAACTTTGTGTATTAAAATTAATAATAACATTTTTACTTATGAACAGAAAGAGATGTATGTGTCACGAAAATTATCTTTGTTACTCCCATATATGTACTCATTATATCACTCACCAGTCATGGGGTGTTTAAAAAAATCTGTAAATACTTTCTAATGGTGAAATACTTTTTTTGAAAGTACATTTTATCTCTTCCTGATTGTTTCAATTTTTGGAAACAAATTTTTTTAATCTGCTATGAATATGAAATACTGAGATGAATTCACACCCAAAAAAATTCTTTCTAGTTTGGTTACATAAGACATTAAATAAAACTTAAAATTCGATTTGAAAGATATGACTAAGTAAGTTCTTTAGTCAATATTGTCATATTGCAAGAAAATTCTTTTTTTAGAACTCCTTTGCAGTTGAAACATTTGACTATTTGACAAGAAAGATGTTTCCGAGATTTCAGGCTTAAGTTTATATAAATACCACACCTGAATTTTTATCGTTTGCATCATCAGCTAATTATTATTTTTATTTTTTTAATAAAAAATTTAAATGGGAATTCTCTTTAAACAACCAAATTGAGTATCAGTTTAGTCTTTTTTACTCAAATATCTACATTTATCAAGACAGAGGGATTCATGCTGAAATGGAAATAATATAATATGGACAAAATCTTTCGTACAACAATGTTTAAAGTTTTAACGTTTCAAGCATTAATGACATTAAATACCATAGAGAATGTGACTGATGTAATGTACGAGTATTTCAATTCCTGACTAATTGGATACCTGCAAGTGACGTCATCTTAGGTAAATCGTGGAATTGGAGTTTCAGGAGCCAATCAGGCTCGACACACACGCGTAACATCGCCTACAGGTATCCAGTGAAATCTGATTAATTACATGGTTAGGCCTAATCACCTTACTTTTTATCGAATTTCAAGTACCCAATTGATATTTATTGACATGATAAATTAAAATATTTACTGTTCAATGATCCTAAATAATCATCCGTCGTTAAATCTCGTTTAACGATATTCAATATCATAAACAAAAGGGGTGAAAAATTATCTTACAACAAATTTTATTTAAACAACAGTTGCCATAATCAGCGAAATTACCCTTAAACTTATTGAAAAAATCTTTTTTTCTGTATTTCATCCATACATAATAAACTTTAAGAAACCATTAATGGGTTTATGTATTATAAATATTAAGTAATCTTTCTTTTTTTATCACGGTTTGTTTATTTGTTTACTTACATATAAGTTAAACAGTAAAATATTTTACAGAGATGGAAAATGCAACTTCAAAAATACAATGAGTGGATATCCTGCAATAAGACTGTGCTCAACATGGTGGAATTCAGAGGTAAATAAGAATAATTCCAATTCGCATTCCATTATTTAAGATAAAATGATTTTATGTAATTTAACTGAAAATTTTTATTGCTTGTTAATTTAACACTGAATGTGTGATATTGAAAGTTAATTTTAGAGTTAATATATTTGAATTACTACACATTTTTCAATTCCTTCTATTAGTTCACACTCTCCCTATATCTTGTTCACATTTTCGATCGTTAATAAAATACTTTTTATTCATTCTATCAAGTTCAAATGCATTCTTTTGAACTTGCAGTGAATGATACCTGATGTTAATGCAGTTTTTCTAATATTAATTCATTAATTAAATAGGAATGAACGATAAACGAAATGGAACTTTCTGATTGGTTAAGCGTTAGTCAATGTTTTAAATTTTACTATAAACGATTCAGTTTTGCACATATTTTAAAGATAACAGTGAAAATTTCTAACTTATACTTCTACTTGAACAAAAAAAAATTGTTTATTGATCACATTTAATTATTTTATATTCGCTGTGCTAGATAAATTCAATAAAGAACATGTAATGTTGTTTATTGAATTTATGACTGAATTATAATTATGTATGCAATACATGCATGTATGGTTCACGTCACCAAACTTATACTTTAATAGTTGTCTGATACCAGGCCCCTTTTTGTTTCAATTCCTACTATTACTTCACACTCTTCTTATATATATTTCAAATTTTCAATCATTAATAAAATACTTTTTTTCATCCTTTCAAGCTCAAATACATTTTTTACTTAACGTTAATACAGTTTTTTCAAATATTCATTCATTATTTAAATTTAATTAACTAATTTTAGTTTTATATGGGGGAAAAATTTAATTATTTAGTGAAAAGTAACTAAAAAAATTTGTTGATTTAAGTAGAAATAAACATTAAAAAAAATTTTTTTATTGTTCGTTTTATAATTTACTAATATAAAATACCATTAAATAAGAATCAGCATAATATTTATAAATATTCTATGAGCTGTTTAAGATGACAAGTTCAAGAAAACTGTCAAGAAAATGCATTGCATATATAACTGACAATGATATTGGAACTAAGTATGTTTATTAAAAATGAGGCTTTTAAAAAAATTCATCATAGGTGTCTCGACCCAATATACATATAAAAGAATTTTAAACAAAATAACTACACATTACAATGGAAAGAAGGGCTGATTTGGAGGTTAAAGCAGTAGTTTCGCATTGAAGCAATAACCCCTTACAAAAAATAAGATAATTTTAAGGTTGACAGTTGTAAAGAATACACCTGAGGTAGAAAATGAGGTTATATTTTACACCAAAAATAACTTCAACAATAAACCTCAGTTAGAACCTCATTTAAATCTCATCAAATTAACCTCATATGTAGCCGAGCGTTACTTTTTGTTAAAACCCGTGGAAATTATTCACACCTCAAATATATTTATTTGTGGAACAAATAACATGCACATCTCAAAAACAACTTCCCTAAGCAGATTGTTCTAAGGTAGGTTTCTATCTATCTCAAAACAACAAAAAAAAGCTCAAATGTGAGTAACAGAGTAATACAATTTCATACACCCTGATTATAAGCCTCAGGAGGTCGATTTTTTGTGATTGTCTTTGAAATCAACTTCAAATAAAGCTCAAAACAACTTAAAACCTCAATTTTTATAAGTTGATGGTTTTCGTGTTTTCCTCCTTCATATAACATAAACCACGATAAATTTTCTCTATAAGGATAATTTCTCTTATAATTGACAAAGTTGCACTGCCCAAAAACATTAAACAGTAATAATTAATTATAGTTTAATTAATTTTTTTTAAAAAATCGACGGAAATTAGTTTTTGAATAATAGAAGCATATATTTTCCTGATTAAACAAAGATAATTGTTTATAGGAAGTACTGTTGGAGTCTGGCGTAGAAGAACTATTCATGGGAATGATGTCACAAATATCAGAAAGAGAAGATGCTATTTTATGCAGTGACGTCAGAGGTCAGTAAAAACCTATAAAAAATTTCATTTCAAGATTTTTCATTTATTTGTAAAATTGTTTGACATGATGAATAGAAAAAAACTTTTAAAAAATTATATGAAAATTACATTTAAATTGAAGCTTTTAAAGTAGAACAAATGCATCATACTAAACCTTTAATGTGAGATCTTTGATATAATCTTTTATAGTTGTAATAATTGGAAAAAACTTTTTGCACCTTTATTCACTAAAATAAAACGCATCATTCTTTAAAGACTAGTGTAAAAGCACGATTTTAGACAAAATTTTCGACATTGAGTTTATTATAAATTTAGAATTCCAATAATTGTAGCTTTCTAAAAATACTTTTCTTTTCTTTGTACTCCACTGATTTACAAGATTATAGCAGTTTTTGTGTAAGGGGATAACAGTAGATAGACTAGTGATTTTAAGTTTCTAAATGCGTTTTACTCAAAATCAAGTTTTTCATATTTTACACCACCTTAAACATGATATTTCATATTGTTTTTCAAGTTATAGTCCACAATTTTTCAAGAGTGTTCATGATTATAGAACACACAGTTTGAGCTACAGACTAAGAGAAAAAGGTAGAATTTCATTTTTTATGCATGTTTATTCGCAAAGACACGTGTGTAAATTTTTAAAAATATGCCGTTTTAACTACGTTGATCCCTTACTCAGAAGTATGCGCACTTGATTTTAAAATAATAGTTCAAAACGTAGTTGGTTACCTTCTAAATAAAATCCTCAAAGGGCTTTTTGTTTCCTGCGATAGAAATTTTTTTACAGTGTTTAGCGGTAATGCAAAAATTAAAGAAATCAATTTAAAGAAATCAATAATTTTTGCTAGTTTTATAAGTTTTTACTCACAATAAAACATTTAAACTAGTTTTTAAAAATTTTATATTAATGTTTTTAAAACAATAGCAAAATTAGTCTAATACCTTAAAATAAAAGTCAGTTTTCTTTTATTTCTGGTTTTATTTATGTTCTTTATTTTTAATTTTGTCTAAATTTTCATAATTTTTTAAAAATTACTACCTCTGCTATTGCAAATATTATAACGTAAACATGTTTACTACATTGTAACACACTACATTGTAAAAAACGCAAAATCATAATGCGGTATAAAGTACCACACTTTGGGTGCGTCATCTGTAAAATCCACTTTACCGTGAAATCCATTTACACCGTAAAATATACCCTAATTTTTGCGACAATATTTTTTTACTCACTAGAGAGATTCAGAGAGAAAGAGGAAAAGTGATTATGTGAGTGATTCAGTGAATTTATGGTAATTATTACAGTAAAAATTACTGTATGTCAGATTTTTTGGTCAAATGCATATTCCGGTAAAAATGTTGTGAATTTTGTGGTAAAAAGTATCAGCTCCCTAAATGCCAGTACTTATTACCGTAACTTGAGCCCAATTTTTCCAAGGTATAGCAAGAAAGATATCCCTAGTGTAACTTATAAATAGAGTTAATTGGAGCTTTAAATCGAGTTAACGATCCAGTTAATCGAGTTACATTAAATCGAGTTGACTCATAAATCAATTCAACTTACCAAGGGACTTTGAAGTTAAGATTTAAGATAGGACAAAAATGTTGCCAGTTTCCCTTTCATTCGGGAATTATTGATTTTTAACGAAAAGAAATTACAAAAAATTTGAAAAGTACAGTTTTTGTGAAGCGCGCTATAAACGTTAGCAAAACTTTTCCAAGTAAATAACATTTCAAATAATACATTGCTTAAACATAATATTTGTTCACAGTTTATGCAAATTCAGTTTATTTAAAACAAAATTTTCCCTTTTTAATGTTTTTTTCCCTTTCTCTAGTATAAAGTTCGAAAACTTACGAAAATACGTCTTTCATTCGTAAAAAAAAAAATTCCTTTTAAACTATGTGCATATTTTTGTACTGTTTGAACAAAATGTAGCTCATTAAGAAACATTTACTGGTACAATAATCTTTTTAGTAATAATGCACAAGTTAAGTAAAATTTCGAAATTTTGAACTGAAAACTAGGCTGAAATTGAACCAACACGCTAAAATCAACAATGCTTTTCCATTCTTGACTTTAACTAACGTTAAGATGAAAAGTGCTATTTTAAATAACTTATAATTTAATAAAACATATAAAAGAAAAAAAAAATTTTCCCAGACTTTAAATTAAACTTAAATGTCGAATGACATTCTGGGTACCTTACCTTAGTTAATGATTATTGTTAGAAGAAAATTGAAGATAAAAAATAATGTTTTTAATGCTAATGAAATCTAAAAATAAATTTGAAATAAGTTTCATAATATAATTAGTTTGATAACTTCATATAATTTTAAAAAAAGAGCTTAAAACTGGAAAATCTTGGTTTATTTTGTTCTCCTTGTAAACTTGACGACCTTTACAGCAGATTGGGATATCATTGCCCAAGCCGAAATGCATGATGGTAATTGTAATCACAGTATAATTTCTAAACAGTTAATTATTTTTAAAACAAAATAACACGTTCAGAAATTTGGTTGTTCTTACTTATTTTTCAAGCATTATGAAATTAAATTTTAAAAACCACTTGTTTTCTTTTTTTTTTGTTAACTGAAAACAATAAATATTTCTTACATTTATAAGAAAATTGCTGAGCTATTACACAACAATTCTCTATACCATCATAAAAGAAATCATTAAATTATTTTCCTAGCGATAAATGATTTTCAAAAACATACATAATGTCAAAACATTTTTCTTCCATTCAATCTTGATGATTTCCAATAAAGCAAAATTATGTTAAAAATGTCGATTCTCGATGTTATGCAATTTTACCGCCACAAAAATTTTTACTAATAGCTTAAGAACATCTCATTTCTTTGTTACATCGATGTTTTTATGAGAAACCACCCGTGGTTTTATAGATTCACACTTTTATGTACTTCAATTTAGGTTGGCTATAAAACTTCAGCATTAAATGGTGATTCAAATCCTCTCTTCATTAGGTTTGAGCAACATTTTCGCGCAACCACTGGACTTTATTTTTTCGATAAATCACCCCAGCCTCAATTTTGGTGTAATAGGTCGAGTTCCAAAAACAATTGATTTCCCTATTTCGACGAACATTTTCAATACAACCTCTCATCCTCTTTATTCTTCCTCATACTCTCATCTTTGAAACAAACAAAGCATTTACTCTTACTTGACCCCAGCTTTCGCTTAGAATGAAAATTTCAACTTCTCACGTCCCATGGGCGAACCTGTCTACTATACCTTATACCCAATTAATCCCTTGTTACAAGGGGTCAAGACCTCGGTATTATTTTCTTTCCGCTTGCCCCAATAACTAAATCTTCGTTTCATTTTTAGGGTTTTGTGTTCGTATTTGTTTGGTGAATGTTCACAATTTGACAGACTAAAGTTCTGGAGATAACTACGATTTGGGTGGAGCCAGTTACTTTGTTGAAATGTTTCAATTTGTATAATTGAAATGTTGAATAAGAGGAGCGCTCTAGATGCAACGTAATATTCAATGACAGTACATTTTGTTTGTTTTTGAGAGTCCATGCAGTTAATTGAAATGTTGGGTTTGGTTGAGACGCTGAATAAAGGTTAAGTATGGGGTTCGAAATATACTTCATTTCTATCTATGTTTAGATAAAAAATGAAACAAAATAAACTACATGAACTGCGGATTCATTTTAACTTATTCAGTTAATTGAATTTCAGGTTTTGATACATAAAGTTAAAATCTTGGGAGTTAACATTTTATTATTTTTCCGCTGTGATTTAAACTAGGATGAACACTAACTTTAAAAATTACAAATGGCAATTATCTATTTGTATACCTTTTTTATAGGTTTCTTTAAGGATTTCTATTACAGACCTTTCGTAACGACTAAAAACCTTCATAAATTTCAAGCACGAAATAATGAAGTAATTTTCAAAATAAATTAACAGCTTTTATAATGTTATGGTGATATTTTTTTGTGAAGTTTTAAATTGTATGTAGTTGAAATATCACCATTCTTTTGCAACATGATATGATATATTTGTTTAAATCTGCGTACAATATCACATTTACTAAATGCTTTTCTAATTGTATTTAATTCAAAAGCATTTCAAGCAATTTAAAACATACTTTAATAAATATAAATGCCAGTAATAAGTTCAAAATACGCTAAACCATGTTCACATATAATTATATATTTTCCTTATTTTGAATGACTGGTAATATTTAGAACATCTACCTTTTCGTCTCACTTTCATGTGATTTTTCTACTTCCATTAAATCAAAAGTTCCAGACTCCTAAAAATCTTTTTTTTTTTTCATTTTTATTTTGCATATTACCTTTCTTTTGTGGTTTGTTTTTAAAACATAATCAGTTTATAGCCTATTTGACTTTGCAGTCACTGCCGACTTTTCTGTCAGCATTAAAATTCTAAATTCAATATCTCTCATACAGATTCAATATTCTTTATGTTACATATTCAATATTACTTATACAGAGTGTAACATGATTTTATATTTTTCAAATTTCATATAAAACCAACTATTCCTTATAAATTAACAAAGTACTGATTACTAAAAAATATATTTTCCAAAAAAAAAATTGATCTATATTTGATAATATGCCTAAAATAAACAACCCATTCTGTCATTAAAAGCTCCGCAGAGATTGATTTAAAAGACACGGTTCCCAGACACCAAACACTGGGTGCTTGATACCAAAGCCAAGTATCAGTGGTTACGGTCCGTGAGCCGGTGGTTACCACTTTGATCAGCCTGCATAAGTAAGGACCGAGGGTGTGCGGCAATGGTCCTCGTTAAACTGTTCTATCATAAAATCATCAACTTCTCACGGGCTACCAAAGCCTGAGAACCATCCCCTCTGTGATCAAAACTGTGATAGCATGTCTTCGGATCATCTCAGGGATGTTTCCCAGACCGTCGCCAATAGTTTATTGTGCAGCTCAAATGCGGCGTACATAAACTACCCCTACCATATTCGCGAATCTTGGCTCAGTAATGATTCAAAGGGCCTTTATTTTTCCGATATTGGCCATATATAGAATTTTCTGATTCCCCCGATATTTTACAACCACTCTACTACCAATATCGGTCCTATATAGAATTTTCAAATTCACCCGATATTTTATATCCATTGTTCAGCCAATGTAGGGTCTATATTGGCCCATATAGGCCCTATATAGATCATTCTAGGACCAATATTTAAAAATCTAGACATCCCAATATTGGTTCCTCTGTGAATGATCTTATAGGATCCATATCGAGCCAATTTTGAACCTAACTGGGACCAAGATAAAATTTGTTGCCAAGGTACTGTCTTTTAAAAACATTAAAATCTTATTTCAACCTGATGGAGTACTGTAAAAAATACCTTTTAAAATTAATGATGTGTTATGACCCTATACTTATTTTTTCCAGATAAACTTTTCGGTCCTATGGATTTTACTAGACGAGATTTGGCAGCTTTAAATATTATGAGGGGACGAGATAATGGCTTACCTGATTACAACACAGTTCGGCGTTATTTTCAACTGCCAGTACTTAGCAATTGGTCGCAAATAAACCCATTACTCTATGAAAAGAATCCAAAAGTAAGCATACAATATTCTTCCCTTCTTAAAAATTATGTTTTCTGAAATTTCCGTTTATAGAAATGTCTCATTACAACTTGATTTCTAATGTTTTGAATGCTTAATTGGAATTGTGAATATTTTTACATTTTCGTTTTACCTTCAGATGTTTGAATCTCTCAACGAAGCTTATGAAGGTGACATGAACAACATAGATTTGTATATTGGTGGAATGCTTGAAACGGAAGTAGACGGAAGACCTGGCGCTCTTTTTCGTAGAATCATTAAAGAACAGTTTGAAAGACTAAGAGATTCAGATCGGTTTTGGTTTGAAAATCGTGCTAACGGGTAAGGATTTCTTTTTTTTTTTTAAACTAAAATATATATTCATTTTAATTCATCGCAGTGGACTGATCGTTAAGACATGGTTCCCAGCTGATCACCGAAGTTAAGCATCACTGGCTGCGGTCAGTGTGTGGGTGGGTGACCACTTGGACCAGTCGACGTAGGGACCGAAGGTGTGCTGTATTGGTCCTTGTTAAACTTTTCCATTGTAAAGGGCTCGACTTCACGTGCAGGTCGTCGGGCCACCAAAGCGGGTGTGTCATTCCCTCTGCAGAGGATCAAAATTGTGATGGCATGTCTTCGGATCATCCTCAGGGATGTTTCCCAGACCTTCGCCAATAGCCCATAGTGTAGCTGTAGTACTACGTAAATAAATAACAACAAAATTTTAATTGAATAGTTTTATTCCTTGCAAGATAAAATTTTCATGACATGGCAATGCACAGATGTGAGCTTAAAAATAAAATTAAAGTTGACTTCTTTTACTGCAAATAATACCAAAAAAAAGGTATTTCTTAATTGTTTTGGTAGTTGATAATTTTGATGTCTTGTTTACATACAGTCCCTGGCCAAATTATAGGACGTACTGTAAGATTCTATGAAAAATCTTAATTATCAGGTGATTATACTATACAGCTTTATTGTTTTTACGCTGCTGAAACCGGTTTGCACTTGTTTACATTCTTGTATCCATTGGTTAACATTGTAATGCAATATGTTAAAAATAAATACAAACAGGAAGTATATAAAAAAATCTCCCATTGCATTTATGTTTAAATATAAAAGTATTGCATATAAACTCGCGCAAAACATGTAATTATTAAAACACTACAGTGCGTCTAATAATTTGGTCCAATTATTATAATATACTAAAATAACACCTTACATAGTAGATATTCCATATTTATATAATATATCGTCTAATGTATCCAATCATCGAATTTATATTATATATCGTCTAATTCAACCAATTGATACACGAACGTGAACAAGTGCCAACCGGTTTCAGTCACGTGAAAAACAAAACTGTATAATATCACCTGATAATTAGGATTTTGTATGGAATCATATAGTGCGTCTAATAATTTGGCCAGGGGCTGTTTATACTAGTAGAAGAATTGACTCAAAATATTACATCAAGTATTACTTTTTAAAAAAAATTGTATTTGTTGCCTGATAAAGTTTATCTTTTAATTAAGTTTCAATTTGACAAAAACAATTTAATTTTCCTCGATATAAGTTGGCCATAAGATAACCAAAATTGATGATCATCAGTCTGATAACTAAATTCTTGCTACCCAAGTGGAATGTTTTAACAAGTGGTATAATTGTATAATATCATGATATAAGCCAATAGTTTAAACTTGCATTTATAAAAAATTTTCAAAACGTTCGCTTTGGTGGCAAAGCAAACTTTGAAAATGTAATCAATGGTGCATACCCTTAGAAACTCTTTTCTTTGCCCGAAAACTCAAAATGATTGGTAGGATTCAATTTTTGCTTATTAAATTTAAATTGTTAATTCTTCAGTGTAAAGAGAACTTGTTTAAAAAATTTGTTTTAGGAAGGAATTAACAAAAATCTTCGCTATTACATGTTTAAAGAGATCTCAGCATAACATTGCTTAACCTAGCATTAACCAGCTTTTTAAAATTTTTTTATTATTAAAAATTTCTAAATCTTTTAATCGGCTTTATTACCGATATTAATTTTGTATTATTGAGACTTTTATAAAATGTTCTTCTCGTAGTTAAACAAAAGGTGATTGTTTTATAGTAACAATTCTAAGATTCCACATTCTTTGAATATAGGTAAAGGCCTGATGATCATTTATCGAATCTTTTCCCCCGTGAAATTTTTTTCTAAAAGATAAAAACTGATAATTCAATTATCTTAAAATGGAAATTTATTTTGAAAAAGACCTTTTTGTTCCCTGTAATATATTAATAGTATAAATATCTATATTTGATCAGAAATTAACTATAAAACTTAAGTAGTAGCCAGTAATGGAAAACCTTAACTTATTCTTAGGGAGAAGGCCTTAATTCTGTTATCAAAAATTCCCTTTTTTTCATATAAGTATTTTTTACATCACTGCCAAATGTAGCATTTTCTAAGTAGCCTAAATAACACCCCTGCGGTGTGAGGGGCCTCACTAGGTTTTAGGGAGCTCTCGTCAGGAAAAATAACACTACGAGTTGAAATAAAACCAAATTTTAATTGTAAAATATTTTTTTAATAAAATATTTAAATTGTAAATTTTTATTTGATTATGAAATATTTTTAGTTCACTTTAAAGTTAATATTAACGCTTAACTATATTTTGAATATTACTGCAAGATAATGGGCTGTATTTTCCTATTTAAAAAACAAATTCACTTCAATATGGTATGTGTATACAGTGTTTCAGTTTAGTAACTTAATTCAGACTATTCAGCGCAATAACTATTTTCAATTTCCTAAATTGAAATAAAATTAATGATTATCCAAATATTTCTTCTCTAGAGTGTTTTTGTTTCATATTACAATTCTAAATTTTTTATGGCAAGTCTAATACAGGGCGCACTTATAAATCAAGCAGGGTAGCTCACCTATGTCTATATGCGCTACTACGCTTCCTAAAAAGTTATCGAGAATGAGTTAATAGCAAAATTCTGTAGCTGAAACAAGGCGGCATTTTTCTTGGTGTATAGCAAGTTTCAAGTTCAATTATCACTATCGTTTATTTAAATACTTCACTGCGTTTCCTCAAAAGTTATCGAGAATGAGTTAATACCAAAATTCTGCAACTCAATCAAGGCGGCATTTTTCTTGGTGTATAGCAAGTTTCAAGTTTAATTACTCTTACAATGTGATGCGTTCTATCCACATTTAATGGAAGTTTAATTTATTCCATTATTATTTATTTAATTCATTCTAAACTAGTAATTATACGAATTCAAGTCCTCTATCAAATCAATGAACAACCGTTCCCGCATAGCATTTTCTAACTGCTGTCGTCTACTTAAATACCCATTTCTGCTTTACACTTCAGTAGTTTTGACGTCCAACTACATTATAGGATTATTGATGATGCAACACCTAGTGTTAGGCTAGTTTCGAAAGATAAACATCGGTGTCAAACCATCGCCTTAATTAAAGATAATCGGAAATTTTCTTTGGATCAATAAACTGAAATTGGTAGTTTCCACAGCGAAAGCAGCGATTAACCGGATTTTTGTGTCTAATAAAGGATGTGGTGATGGACATGAAAGTATCTCGTTATTTTTTTGTATTTTTGACACAAGAAATTGTATCTTTGACAAGATTGCCAACACGAGCACCTGACAACCTGGTTGTTTTAATATTCTAAATATATCAGGAAAATATCCGACAATTTAAAAATCGACAATTTTGAAGAAAATTTTATTTTTTTTTTACTATTCGTATTTTATATTTTTATTTTATAACCGTTGTTGAAGACCCGATTTTGAGTTAGCGATTACCAGTAATCAAATCTGTAGCTTTGCAAATTTAAACCCAACCCAAAGGAAAAAGAAACTCTTGAATCAAATATTGGGAGAAATTTACCTTTGCGAAGCTCTTTTTGATGGAACTATCTCGCATTTGTGTTACATGGAGAGGAAAAACAAGAAACCCTCCCACGATTAGCCTGACAACAAAACCCATGATCTGTCTACCACAGAGGATATTTTACGTCAGCACTGTGGTCGGTGTGAGCCAAGTGCGGAATTCGCATCGAGCAGCCATTTCTAGGATTTGAACCCGGTTCAACCATTATCAATCAACAATGTTAATCAACGATTGTTTGATCTATCACGAGATTAGGACCTTTTATTGGATTGAATGCACTACATATTCAACACTACACCAGAGTTTATTGACAGTAGTGATTTTATTTTATAGCCATCGGTGAACATCCGACCCAATTTTAGGCTTACGACTGCTAATGTTCAACTCCGCAGCCTTGTACTTTTGGAACCAACACAGAAGAAAAGGCAACTTCTAGATCAAGTATTGTTTGAAATTTGCCTTCGTAAGTTGCCAAGTATTGTTAGAAATTTGCAGGACATTTTGAAGGAAATAACAAGCCTTTTCGTTACATGGAGAGGAAAACCACAAAACTTCCCACTGTTAGCTTGACGGCAAGGGGACTCTAGACCCTTATCCATCTACCACTGAGGATATTTTACGTCCGGGTGTGGAATTTGTATCAACCAGCCATCGAATATATTATTAAAAAAAAAATTTTTTAATGTATGTTAGCAGGAAAAAACTTTATCGAANTGTTTTATATTTGACTAGTTCTGCAGAAAATACATTTGAAATGCATGGAAATTCTGAAATCTAAGAAAATTCTGAAAACAAAAAAGTTAACTATTTGAATATTAATTTCAGAAAATGAATTTTATGTCTTAAAAATATAAAATATTCAAATTCAGAAAAGGATAAAATACTCAAAATATAATGTGAAGAGTAGTGTTGAATGAGTTTAGTGTAAGAAAACTCAAACCTGTGATTTTTTGTACTTTCTTTTGTCCTTTATCCACGTTGTTTTTGCTTCATCCACGTTGTTTTTGCTTTATCCACGTTGTTTTTGCTTTATCCACGTTGTTTTTGCTTTATTCACGTTGTTTTTGCTTTATTCACGTTGTTTTTACTTTATTCACGTTGTTTTTGCTTTATTCACGTTGTTTTAGCTCTATTCACGTTGTTTTTGCTTTATTCACGTTGTTTTTGCTTTATTCACGTTGTTTTTGCTTTATTCACGTTGTTTTTGCTTTATTCACGTTGTTTTTGCTTTATTCACGTTGTTTTTGCTTTATTCACGTTGTTTTTGTTTTATTCACGTTTTAGCTTTATCCACATTGTTTTAGCTATATCCACGTTGTTTTAGCTTTATTCACGTTGTTTTAGCTTTATCCACGTTTTTTTTGTTTTATTCACGTTGTCTTTGTTTCATTTTATATTGAAAATAAAGGTTCAACAAAAAGAATTGCTTGATTATATTTTTTTTAAAAATTATTTTATAAACTAATCACCTACCATAATTCTAAGTTATAGCTAGTGATGTTTTTGATTTTCAGAATATTTACTGAAGAGGAAATAGAAGAGATACAAACATTGAAATTGCGCGATATAATTGTTCAAGCTAGTGGAATCGAAGATGAATATATTCAGGAAAATATTTTCTTCTGGAAAGATGGTAAGTTTTTTTATTTAAATTATAGTTCACTGATAATATTTACATATATACTGATTGATGCTAACTGATATAACTTTAATACGATATTTAATATTCTAGAATTAGTATAAAAAAACAAAAAAATTAGAACAATTTAGTTCAAAACTATATACAATCGTAATAAAACTAATATTCGCATCAGTTAAAAATTCAATAAATAAATTAATAATTATAATTTAATGTAGTTCCTCTAACTAATTAAAATAATTTTTATATAAAAATATTCCTTAAATTAATTAATTTGTAGATAAATTAAAAAAGTTTTTTCCTTAAATTAAAATACTTTAATTTTGTTATATTAATATCACTTGGGAAAATTCTAAACATTTGTTATTGCATAAAATATAATTTTACATTAAAGTATTTTAGTAAATGTTAAAGCAATTTTTAGATCCCCAAATTCTTAAAATAAATTTACATATAAACAGTAACGGATAATTTTTAATACAATTTTGAAAGTGCTTTATTTTTTCCAATGATGTCAATCTACTCTGACTTCTACATTCCTTTTTCAATAACAAAATTTTATCTTCAAATTCTTATGTTATTGCCAGTTTCAACGCTAAATGATTACAGTCAGTCCAGTATTTAGAGTTAATGCTACTGAAGTCCATGTTTAGAAACTTGAATTGGGGATTTTTCTTATTTAAAATCGTTAATCAGGCAGTAAGATTTCTGATTAAAAGTGGAGGTTTGGTCAGAGCGTTATTTCTCCAATGCATTATTTTTCCCTATGGTACCAATCGAACGGGATTTCGACATTCTTTTTTAATAGCAAAATTTCAACTTTAAATTCATATGTTATTGCCAGTTTATTACTGTCAATCCAGTAGTTAGAGTTAATGCTACTAAGTCCATGTTTAAAAACTCGGGTTGGGGACTTTTTCTCTTCTAAAAATCACTAATCAGGCAGTAAGATTCCTGATTAAAATGAGAGGCTTGGTCAGGGCGTCAACAGAAGGGTGGGAGGTTCTTATGACGCCTCTTACATGATTCATTGAAATCAGTCTATCAGAATGACCTATTTGAATCAAGCAACTGTCAAAAGCAACTCCATTCCTATTAATGTGTAACAAAACAAATGATTATGAATTGATTTTATATTGACGTGGAAGACACGTTTCTGTGCAGATGTTATTAAAGAAACGTTTTTTAAGGAAAAGGATTCGTCAGCAATTATTTCTCTCATCAAACATTTTTGAAAAGTTTAGTTTGGTGTTTCAAAACGGGACGAAATTATTGGCGTTTATTGAATGTCGTTTGACAAGTGATGTTTTTTGATATTGAAATAAAAATGGTTGCTGATACTTAAAATGAATCAACTTTTATTGTAAATCTATCGTAAAAATATTGTTACTGAAGTATTATTACTAATCTGATTTTATTCATCAACTTATATCATTTCAGTTATAATTATGGGACAAATTAGGTGTTGCACGCACTACGTCTTTTGAACTGTTTACCGTATTGTTTGACTCAGCATGTCCTCTTTAGAACTTAGTGCCACTAAACCCTACATTCAATCCAATCCGTTACTGAAGTATTAAATTTTTTTTTTAAAAAAAGGCTTAAAAGTTTTAAATAAAGAGAAAATGAATGCTTTTATTTTTAATAACAATTGCGTATTTGCAACTAATCACATGGATGTGTTTAATTGCTTGTTCTAATGTAATTAATGTGTGCATGGCTTGTTAACATTACAGTTTTAAATTTTGAGTTCATTATCACGTTGAATCAATTTTCGGATCAAAGTTAATTTGACACCGGCAAGCGAAGTCAAGCCTGTGTCGAATCTGATTCGCTGGCCCACGCATGACGTTGCTTGCAAATATCCAATTAATGTATATTTATGTTAACAAATAATAGCTGATCAGGAGTTTTTCCCTATTGAATCCAAAAATGGTTATAGCAATAATAATAATCGTATATAGGCCTTATAAGGAGCCTGTGGATTATCATTGTGTAATTTACTTTTATCTTCGTTTTAGCATAAGAATACTAACTTTAATATGTTATAATTTGAACAATATTTAACTGTTTTTTGGTGCTATTTATCACTACATTGACAAATTTTGTTCGTAGATTGATATGTAAAGATAGTATTTCAGAGGGCAATATATCTTAACCGTGTTGTTTCATATTGTTTTGTATTTGATTGACTCAGTAATGCGTTAAGTGATATGATTATGCTCAAAAATTTAACCAACTTTTACATTAGGTGATGTTTGTCCGCAACCGGCGCAGCTGAATGGTTCCATGATGGAGGCGTGCTTGATGCTGGACGGATACGACTACTTTCATGGAAACGAAGTTGCATACATCTACTCCTGCATCATACTCGCCTTTATACCCATTGGTAAGACATTTTTTTTCTCAAAAAAGTTATTAAACTGGATAACGAGAAGTTTAGTGAAAAAACACGTTATATGACGGTTTGGAAATATACAATTTTAAAACCTGATGTAAGTACAAAATGTTAGTCTGAATTATTGTGAGTAATTAAATGAAACATTCTCAATTCGGAGAGATTTACAACAGCTCAGTTATAAACTCTTAAGTTATAACAGTTTTGTAAATGCTGTATTTACAACAGCCAACTTCCAGAGAAAATGTTTTTGAATTCAACAAAGAATGTCTCTTAACATGTATTCAAACAAAGAAATTTTAATGTTTAATCTAAACTTTTAAGTAAAGTATAACGAATCGATAAAAACATTATCTGTTTCCCAAATCTTTTTTATGCCTTATTGAACAAAAGTAATATTTTTTTAATATCACACTTACGATTGACACTACTTATTTTTTAAACTGCTACCCAAGCAGGGATACTAAAAAGAGAATGATACATTACATATTTATTGAAATCTTACATTATCGTGTAAAGAGCTATTGATTAATTTTACAAAAATTATGGAATCAATAAAATTTCTGAAATCAATAACAGCATTTATCTGCCAGCGAAGCAGTTAATCAAAGATTGTATGACCTTTTCCGAGATTATGACCTTTTGTTGAATTGGGTGCAATACAGATTCAACACTATACCCAAGTTTATTGACGGTAGTGCTTGTAAAGGATGGTGTGCTAATCCTTCGACTACCATTGAACCACACGTTTTCAATTGTTCCGTGATCTGGAGATTGTGTTGGTTAGCACAACTGTTGAATTGGTTTTGTATCAAGGAATATCAAAGCAGTACGGGCCACATGCATTATCCTGATTAAAATTTCACTTAAGAGGTATTAAAAACAGAGGCCACCCGTCCTTAACCTTTTCGGGACGAGCGAGTCATAAATATATTCGTATGGAATCAGAAACAGGATGGGGGGGGGGTAAAAAGCGTTAGCTTAAGTTTGGGCATGGCTAATTTGACAACCTTACTTTTGCTTTCTCTTTAAATCTAATACATCTAATCTATGTTTATTAAAAGTGTAACTATACAATTTTTAATTTGAACTCTTTGTGATATTAATAAAGAAAACTATTATTACCCCACCAACAAATAAACTGCAATAAAAATAGTTAGGCTATCAGTTTTATCTTCTTTACCGTGATTGTCGCCACCCTGAAAATGCATGTATGACTCTGCCGTCTCGAAGAGGTTAGCTCACGTGAAACGTATGATCGCTGTGAGAATTGCTGAGAAAGCCGTAAATAGCGTCTCGATCGTACGCGTCTCGATCACTTCGATCGAGACGCGTATCTAATAGATCTCAGATCATCATTGCAAGTGATTGACTCGTTCAAAGATCTCGAATGGAAGTTGTCAATGTGTGTTCTGCGTGGTGAAGTCAAACACGGATGTGGTCATCATGACGGTCAAGTTTCTTCTGTAAGGATAACTTGCCGCAATACCTGTTTCCAGGTTGATCTTGATCAAACCATGGTTCTACCCATGTTTTATATCGTGGCAGTGCTATTTCTTGTGGTCATGTGCATGTGACATCTTTCTTCAGTGCTGTTTGTGATGGTGATGAGAGATCTCGGAAATTCAACACGACGTCCGTATGACCGTTCTTAACCCATAGATTCCAAATTATGTGAAATGTTTAGCTAACTCAAACAGACACAAGAAGATATATCGCTGTCCGATAAGCAGCAATCCCAGTAGGCTATATTTTTTTCCTAAATAAAAGTGAAATAAGTGCTCCTAAGAATTTCTCGTTTTTACAAGAAGCATTACAAACAAAGTTTTAGCTGAAAATAATGTTCGAATGCAAAATTAGAATAATGAAAACAAATAACTGCTCTCTAATCTTTGTTTTTATGCGCATTATACATATCACTATTGCTAACTGTATGGCATAAATGTACTGAAAATCTAATCACTCAATTGTGTGTTACACACTACCTTCTGGATGTAGTAATTTTATTGACCTGTAGTGCATTTTTCAGTTTTGTTTTTGTTTTGAAGAGATTTATTATGCTAAAAATTCTTATTCTAAATGTTAACAAACCTTAAAAAATGCAAAGTTATTTGCTTCAAGACGTCAACCCTTTTTTTCAGTAATTTCAATTCTTTAAACTACATAGAGCTTACGTGTAAACATGTACTCAAAAGTGCAGAGTCTACTGTCGAGCAGCTAATGAGTGAGTAAAATTTTCAACAGAAATTCGCTATGGCGGAAACTATTAATTCACTAAAATGGTTTAATTTCTTTAACTAGTCCATAGTATTAAGATGTTATATTTAGTTTCTAACTCAGATTATTCCTAATGCGTTTATAGTAACATTAAACAATTTGTCATAAACCGAAATTTTAGAGATAATAAATTATTCTCAAAACATTTAATGCATTAATTAATTTCGAAAACTTGCTTAAATATTTCTAAAGGGAGCAAAAATAACCTATATCAAAAAAAAAATTTAAAAAAATGACTCATTATGTAAAAATGTTATGTCGTGCATATAAAAGGCACATTAAACTATAAAAAAAAAGGAATTGAATTTTATTGAAATGGAAAATCTTTGAAATCTTATATGTATTAATTATTTATTTAAAATTCAATACCATTTGTTAATCTATCTCTTATTTATAGCTGTGCAATCTACTTTATTGTAAATAGATTTATATATTTATCTTGATATAAAATTGGATCTTACTTAAGCCTAATCATATTTAAAAAAATTTAATTTTTTTTTTTTTTAATTTCAGTGTGTGCCGGTCTTGGATATGGAGTGATTAAGCTACAAAATAAACGCAGACGAGAAATCAAGCTGAAGAGAGATTTGAGCGTTGGAAAAAATTTTGACAAATTGTGTATGTGTGTTCGATTATCTGCTTTTAACGGTGGGCTATTGCTTTAACTAATACATTGACTCAGTTCTAAATGCCTAGGCTACAATTTTTGTAATTCATGCAATTTTGTAATTTCCGTACTTCATATATTCAATAACGCTGTCTTATTTAAATATCATTAAATAAGTATTACGTCACGCAATTAAAAATTGTGGCCTGGATAAACGATGGAGCTGTGTTTTTTTGCCAGTTGATGTAAAAAAATTGCAAGGTGTTCTCTAAACCTCGCCCTCACGATACATTTTTTTTTAATATAACTATTAAAAACAGAAAATAATAGTCACATATACATTCCGGAGGTAACAAGCAAGTATTTAATAACAATATTCAAAACCAAAAGATAAACTGAAATTCAAATTTGATTTATTTGAATTAAAATTAGACTTCGAATTTAAAATCTAAAATCGACGATAATTGTTGTAGTTATCCTAATAGTTATTTTATCAAATAGAAATGGGTGGATAGTTTAATTGTGCTCAACAGGCCAACGAATCTTTTTGTTTTCAATTTTGCTTAAGAAATAAGTGTTTAAAACTACGATTCATCTCATTTCGTAAAAGTTTCTTTTATTATATATAATATATTGTTAATAGTATATTATATTTATACAGTCGAACTCTGTTATAATGAACTTTGCTGACCAGTAAAAATTCCACTATAAGCAATGGTTCACTATGTCCAAATTCATTGAAAAGTTACTTTTTAGTCTGCTACAATATTACTGTTGGAAATAATGATTATGATGATACATTATATGTTAAGAAAATTATTAACTGAAAAAACAGATAGTAAATCAAATATTAAAAAGAAAAATAATAAATGTTTACATTATATGGGATAAATTATTGATTTTTAGTTGACTACAATTTGATTTTAAGTACAGTTCACCTATTTTCTTATCAACAAATAGTTGAGAATGCAGTATTTTCTTGTTCTCATATTCTGCAAGAAAAAAAAAATTGAATATTCAATTCCGATTTCACTTCTGAAATAAAAGAAATCGCAGCGTCTTGTTCTTCCTCAATATCTAGGCGGAAGTGGAAGAAGGGATATCTGCTGCTTATCAATTTGTTCGCTTTAATTTAAAAGCAAATAAGATTTGAATAAGTTAAGATTTGATGCAATGTAAAGAAATGCCGTCTTTTGCATTCGCAACTCCTGCAATTTTAAAGTTGAAGAAATGATATAAAAAAATTAATAAGTAATAAAGATAAATAAATAATAGTTCAGAAGGGAACACTAAAAAGTTCGTTACAACCGAGTGTTCACTGCATCCAGATTCATTATAGTGAAGTTCGACTGTAAGCAGTCTCTGAACCTTTTTGATGCAGATTCTAATTACTAAAAATGATGATATAAAAAAATTAATAAGCGATAAAAATAAGTAAATAATATTAGTTCAGAAGGTGTCACTAAAAGGTTTATTAAAACCGAGTGTTCACTGTATCCAGATTCATTAAAGTGAGGTTCGTCTGTGAACCGTTTCTGAACCTTTTTGATGCAGATTCTAATTACTAGAAATGATATAAAAATTTAGTAAATAATAAAAATAAATAAATAATTTTAGTTCAGAAGGTGTCACTAAAAAGTTCATTATAACAGAGTGTTGAATGTATACAGATTCATTATAGTGAGATTCGACTGTAAGCAGGCTCTGAAACTTTTTGATGCAGATTCTAATTACTTTATTTTTTTAACATGGTGATGATTAGAGAGCACCTTGCATATCTATTTATGCTAAATGAGCTATTACTGATATTAAATTCTTCAATTCCAAATTTAGACGTAAAGGAATGGCTGCACCAAAATCATAAGCGATGCGTGAAAGTAAAAATCGGACCAGATGAAGTGATTTCGACAATCAATAGAAAAGGTGAAGTGCTGCGGAAAATCGAATTCAAAACAGTCAGCGTTCTCATCATTGAAGTCACCAGAGACACGCATAAGAAACCCATGGTACTCATTAGATCTCCAAAAGACCATGATTTGGTAAGTTAGATCGTAGTATCAGTATAGCACGGGATTTAAGTTAAAATTATAAAAAGCATAGGAGAACATTTTCTCACTGTTTCATGAGATTTTATTTAATATATCTTAGATACTTTCGCATCGCTGATATCAAATCAGCAAATCTCTCTCCACGGTTTTTATCAACTTTAGTCAATTTTTTCGAAGTGTACAATTTTGAAAGGTTATATGTAAGAATGGGTTGCAAGAATGCGACTAAGTTTTAGGGGATTTAGGTAGTGCTCTATTAGGAACTGTTTCCTCATGTTCTTCTGAGCAGGTCATAATAGTGAAGATCCCCTAGCCTCGTACGATGACATTTCCGGGCTTGTAATTTTAATCCTGATCGTGCGCCTTAAATCCTCAGAAAGTTTGTTGCATGATTTATGTGACTCCTTGAACATTTCGACAAAAAATAGACTAAAAATGTAATTTTAAAACAATCTGTAACTTCAAGTGAAAATTAATTTTAGATATAAAATCTCCGCACCCGAATAAGACAAGATCAGGTAATTGTATGAATGCCACAAATAATTTATTCCCCAGTGTAATAAACAAGAAGAAATTTCTTTTCTTTGAGAATCTGAATGTGATATCGGTGGTACTAGTAAGGAGTTTCCATACAGCAGAATACTTGCTGCATCTTACGAGTTTTTGATTTAAAACCAGATTTTTCATCCGAAAAAATCTTTCCTTCTATTGTGTATGCTTCTGAAGAAAATGTAATTTTATAAAATTCCTCCTCAATTTTATTTTTTTTGTTCTATAGGGCGTGATTTCTTTCTTTCTATGAAATATTTTTCTGTTTGTGGCTTTTTTTCTGTCTTATTCTGTCTATGTGGTTGTGATTTCTTGTATCTAGTAAATTATTTTCACAGTGAGTAGCAATAAAGGTAGAAAATATGTAACCCAAATTAAATAGCCTTTATTTAATTCCGATGTTTTGTTTAATCTCAAAACAGACATGCTTTACTACGCATAGAGCAACACATCTAGTGATTTTCCTCCCTGACTATTGGGAAGATATTTCCATTTTATTAGTAATATTTTACTCTATGGTTTGGTGTAAATATTGGTGATGTTTTAGATGTACATACATAGTAAACTTTAGGGTCACGCTGTGTACCCCCTATGGGACTTATAATAAATTCCTTCCGTAGGGAACATTATTCCATGTGAATATAATACCTGGTCCAATTACAATATTATAGGTTAATATTAAAGTCTGATATTGGGACAATATCTAATATCTTCTAATAACTTCTCCATAAAGCTTAAATAATTATGAGGTAAACTTCGAACTTAAAACTTTGATTTAAAAAATTCACGTATTCTAAACAATCAAACGCAGACAACTCACGAAAATGAACCAAAGAAACATGGCCCAATCATAATTTCAACCGAAATTCCTCAAGAGATATTTACCATTTGAGTTGTTCGTTGCTTCAAACAATACTGAAACCTGTCCATTTCATAATTATTTAAATTGTGAATGCAATTGTAGATGTGGAGGATAAACAACACTTGATGTTTTCTCTTAAATACCAGCTCTTAAAATAGTTTAAACAAAATCAGTTCTACGACAATTTTAAAAACGAATTTGTAACAAATGACTTATTGCTGTTTTAAATCATACTAGAATGCTTTTTTTTAAATCTAAATGTGCTTTCCGAGCATGGGAATATGTAACAGTTTTTCTGATTCTAATGCAATTCTATATGCAATACTTGTTGCTTTTATGTAAATTTTTATCAAAGTTGGAAATTAGATTAGCATATTTAATAAACATATATTTTACTATTATTTCCAAAAGGTTTTACAGTTTGAACATCAGCAAGCCAGAAAAAAATTTCTTCATAAGTTAGAAACCTTTTTGTCAAGCAAAAATAAAACATTGGAAACGATACAGACCTACAGAGAAGCCATGCTGGCCAATGCAGAGACGAAGGAAAAGAGACAGAAAAGACTGGAACATTTCTTCAGAGAAGCTTATGCCCTGGTAACCTTGCTAGTTTCATTTTTTAATGTTTTTACTCTTGTTTTTATCAGAAGTTTAATTTCCACTTAATGGTAATAAATGTTGATTTCTTTGAGTGGAAAGATAACTTCATTTTTATGTTAGCCACTTACATGAGCATATTATGAGTAAATGTATAGAAAACTAAACTCAGTGGCACGACAGCCCATAGAGGGCCAAAGCCTACTGTACCCATCTCAGTTTTCTTGACAGTGGGCTCTGGGATGCAGGAGCAGATGTGCCGATTAGGTGGTCAGCCGAACGCGAAACCCCCAGTGTTTAGTTCCCACTCAAGCTTGGTACACATTTATCGACCCACTGAAGGGATGAAAGACTGAATTTACCTTGCCTGGCCCGAGGATCGAACCCAGAACCTGTGGCACGGGAGCGCAAGGCCCTACCACTTAGCCACCGGGCGTAAATGTGTAGAGCATGTTTGAAATCGGGAAAAACTTTTATTCTACTAATTTCGTTTAATTTGCAATTCCAATTTTCTCTCGCTTTGAAAGCATTTTAAATTTCAAAGGGCCATTGGGCCGAGGAACTAATATTTTTCTCACACTCTCAGAAATAGAACTCTTACTTTTGACCATTCAGCAATCCTGGAGCAGTATTTCGTTAATTTTAAGAATCATTTCATCACGAAAGCACATGATTTCTGACGAACTCTCAGATGTATGACAAAAATGTTTCCTTAATTCAAAACTTTACCGTAGTGCATTGTGAGAGACTGTTAACTAGAATGACGAAACTAGAATAAAGACTAGATAATAGAGTATAAACTGACGAATTACGCTCACCGGTTTGTATGGTAGTCAAGATGTTGACCTTGTACCAAGAAAATCCGGAGTTTGAATCCATCTTCAGACATGGATGTATATTTTATCCATGTGTCCTTGGCTGTGTCGTGCTGCCTATATGGATCCCACGTTAAAATGATTAGTTGATTATTTAAAAAGTTGGATCCATAGGGCACTTCAAGTTTTCCTTTTCTTTTTTCTTGGAAAAAAAATAAAATGACGAAATATTTCTTTAATTTTGGCGATATTAGTTTCCGCGAAAAAGTGACCATAGTTATTTTGTCACTTTGACGAAATTTTCGCTCGTAGCATTTACTAGGAAACGGTTTCGTCATATACGAAGATAGTTTCGTAATAAAAGAGTATCCTTTTTTTACAGTGTATTTTCGAAGTCTGACTGAAAAAGTTTGAATAATCTTGCACTAATATATTTATACGTTTTTAATGAAACGCTTACATTTATGTTATTTTCCAGACGTTTGGTTTGAAACCAGGAGAGAGGCGTAAACTGGAAGACATCGGTAGTGACATCATCATGGTGATGAGGACGTCACTATCGAAAAACGAGTTTGCTGACGCACTGGGGATGAAACCAGACTCACTTTTTGTTAAACGCATGTTCAACTGCGTTGATAAAGACAAGGATGGAGAAATCAGTTTTCAAGAGTTTCTTGATACAGTTGATCTCTTTTCAAGAGGTAAAAATTCAATTGATATTTTTAAACCATGCCGATATTTCAATTTAGCAATAAAAACAGAACGAAATATTTATAACTCTTGCAGATGATTTTCTTTTTCTCGAAACAATACATTATTTCTTTATAACTCTTATTTTAGAAAAAAAAATCAGTCGTTTAAAATAAATCTTTATCAAGAGCACGAACATCACAAAACTAAAGTTCTCGGGGTAACTACATGTTTGTTGTAGTGTAATGCAAAATACTAAAGTATAATTCAAAAATATTACTTCACTGTGATTGAATACTTGCTTGAAAGCTAGTTTACTAAATTTCATACAACACTGAAAAACGTTTGTTTGTTTTTCAATTCGTACAAATACTTGCCTAACTCGGATATGAAGATTTTAAGTCAAAAATTATTTTTGCTCTAAAGCTACGGATTTTTTTCAATAACATTTTTAATCTATTTTTGTCGAAATGTATAAGTCAAAAAACGTTATATATAAGAGGTCACGAAAATGTTGCGACAAACTTCTAGGGGAGTTAAGACACATTATTAGAATTAAAATACATAAGAATGTATGCTCCAGGTTGGTTCCCTTATAACATGTTCCGAAGCACATGAACAAACAGTTCTTAAAAAGGCAAGCACCCGCAACGGCGTATGATGACACTTCCAGGCATAGATTACTGCGGAAACCAATCCTGATTATGTGCCCTAACTTCTCTGGAATTTTGCCGCAACATTTATGCGTCCTCCTATTATATATATAACACTTTCAGATTTGTACATTTCAACAAAAAGTTGACTAAAAATGTCATTTAAAATTAATTAACATAGAACGAGAAATCAATTACAGATTTGAAATCTCAGACGCAAAAATATCTAACATCTGCTAAAAATCGTTCCTCAGTTTAATTATTAAGTCAGGTAATATAAATTGGGCAGAAAACAAACATTAAGGATTTCTTAAAGCTCTTGTAGGAAACTAGTAACAGATAACTCGCATTATAAGTGAGGATAAAAATATAATTTAAAAATGATAAATGATGAAAATTATCCATAGTAATAAAACATGTTTGAAATTGTTTTAAGCAATGTTAAATCCCTTTGCAATACTAAATGAGTTTTCTTTTGAAATTTCGTAAATTATTATTGAGTAAATATACATGGCAGAAACAAAGAAAACGGTATAGATTAAACAGTATTGAAAAATTGTTAAAGAATATCGTTTTAGTTTCCTTTAACTGTTAAAATTGATTATTTAAAAGAAAATGGATTAGTTAAATTAAATTTATATTTTACTACGGTTGGAAGGAATTTCATTTTAAGCCGTGTCTGTGAACGATATCTGGGGGAAAAAATACTCCTGCTAATTGCACTGTCAAGATGTTGTCCGATTTAATCGGTGTCATGTTGTACAATAAAGAAGCGCCTAATGAGCCAGTGTTGTTTTGGAAACTCGTCTGCGTTAGTCATTTTCACATAGTAAATTTTGATCCAATTTTCTTGAAATCTCTTCTTTATTTCTTCAATCATCTACGAGCACACAATTATTTTTTCAGAAAAATTATCTTTTGGATTCAATGAACATTGACTTAAAATTATGTCTTTTTTTCTTCCAAAGAATTTTTAACTTTAGAGATTTTATTCATTAATTTTTAAATTATCCAAATAAGTTTCCATGAAAAGACATTTTAAAAGCGTCTCTGGTTGACTTGGAAACTTATCTACCCATTTCCATCCTTAAGGTATGTTACTTATTATTAACTTTAGTACAATAATTTAGTGTGTTTTTTCTATTTTAGTTTCAACGGATATATATATATATATATTTCTCTCATGGGGTACCATTAAGTCAAATTTTCTCTGTCTGTTGACAATACTATAGCTATTATTTTATTAGTTTGTCTTAAGTAATAATTTAAGTAAAGTTGAGTAGTTTTATACGTTGAGTATTTTTTTAATAATGAATTTTAATAATAATGAATGAATGAATGAATTTAACAATAAGGAATTTAATAATCAATTTAATAATTTTCTTAATAATGAATGAATAAAAACTCAGTTACGAAGTAATTATTTTCATTTATTTTTTATTCTATCTAAAATGACTTTAGAAATTTTAAACATAAAAAGTGCTACGGTGCCGCATACTGTGATACTAATTATAGGAGCCTGAGTTTGCCTTATTTGAGAGATAGCTTATATATATTATACGATATTCAAATTATCACTCGAGAGGTGTGAGAGAAGGTAGCACAGCATATAAAGAAGTAATAGGATGAATTTTCTATCACATCTCATGATAAAGATGGAAATAATTTTAATACTTCTGCTGCCTATGACGCTGAATTATNGGTTCTCTCATGGGGCACCATTAAGTCGAATTTTCTGTCTGTTGACAATACTATAGCTATTATTTTGTTAGTTTGTCTTAAGTAATAATTTAAGTAAAGTTGAGTAGTTTTATACGTTGAGTATTTTTTTAATTATGATTTTTAATAATGAAAGAATTTAATAATAATGAATGAATGAATATTTAATAATAAGGAATTTAATAATTTTCTTAATAATGAATGAATGAATGAATATTTAATAATAAGGAATTTAATAATCAATTTAATAATTTTCTTAATAATGAATGAATAAGAACTCAGTTACGAAGTAATTATTTTCATTTATTTTTTATTCTTTCTAAAATGACTTTAGAAATTTTAAACATAAAAAGTGCTACGGTGCCGCATACTGTGATACTAATTATAGGAGCCTGAGTTTGCCTTATTTGAGAGATAGCTTATATATATTATACGATATTCAAATTATCACTCGAGAGGTGTGAGAGAAGGTAGCACAGCACGTAATGAAGTATTAGGATGAATTTTCTACCACATCTCATGATAAAGATTGAAATGATTTTAATACTTCTGCTGCCTATGACGCTGAATTATCTGAAACTCATACTTACGAAGGATTGTGTAATTTAATGGCTGCTAGACATACTTGAAATTATAACAAAAATTCAATACATAAAAAACTTTGACAATATCTCAGACAACTCTTCAAAACAGTTGGAATTGAAATCAGAGTACTTTCGCTTGGGCAAAGCCATGGGAACAGCTCAACGGTGAAAAAGATTTAGTTTATATATGATTTAAAATTAAGGTTTTAGGACTGTAGGGGTGGAGAGTTAGAATGTGTAAATGCAGTTGTGTTTTCTGCTTAGTTATTGTTTAAGCTTATATGTTGTACAAGATAATTTTGAAAGGTAACCAAGCTGATCACCAAAAATGCTAGTACATGAATACATAGATCTAGACACTTGTGCATTTTAAGATTTTTGAATATACTTTTCCGATACTGTATAATTAAACGCCTAATTTTTGCATTATGCAAGACAATTGGATATGCTATCTAACACTGATAGACTATTTTACATACGAATTTCTAAACTACATGCAAAAAAAAAAAAAAAANAAAAAAAAAGGAAATAATTCACGTATTTACCATTAAGAAAAACTTTACTTACAGGAAAAACGGATGCCAAACTGCGAGTAATCTTTGATATGTGCGATGACGATGGAAACGGTGTCATTGATAAACAAGAACTTACTAAAATGCTGAGATCCCTGGTTGACATAGCCAAAACCAACTCCTTGGGAGAAGACCAGGTAATGGAACTCATCAAAGGGATGTTCAGCACTGCAGGATTGGATGAAAAGGAGAAACTCAACTACGATGATTTTAAAGTTCTCATGAAAGAATTCAAGGGAGACTTCATCGCCATTGGTCTAGACTGCAAAGGTAAATGCATTTTTTCTTCTCTTTAAAGTTGAATTTTAAAAAAAAAATTAAAAGCACGAAACTTCTTTAGGGTTATGCATAATAAATTCTCTACACTGTCCTAAAATTTATGAAAATTTATTCATAAAACTAGGATAAATTAATCTTTAAGAGACCCAAATTACCTAAATTACAAAATTAATGCTTGTTTCAGATAAGTTTAATCGAATTTTAAAAATTTTTAGTTTAAAAATTATTATGTAAGAGTGAATTCTCTCGTAAAAGAGTCTTAAGATTTTATTGCTATACCTCTAAACATAAAATTTTATGTATAGTTTTTATGATGTTAATTTTATTATTATTATTATTATATCGAATAGCATGTGTTTGGTCCGCTGGGTATGGAATCACTCGACTAAAATGAAAACACTCTCGTGGACTATAAAAATAAAACGTTCACTTTATTAGCGTTCTTCACATGGTGTTCACTAGCACGCTCTGAAATGATCTTTCAAAGCACTTCAAGGAACACATTTTCAAGGCTGGTATAGATGGCTCTTTAACAGCATGTACAGGGAGCAAAAAATGGATCACCCTGAAGAACTTTGGATCCAATGATCGGATTTTCAAGTTCTAGGACTGACTGGTTCAGGGGGGGGGTATCTCAAAACTGCTAATTAATTGGTGCAGATGATAGTTTAAGTTACGAAATCAGACGTAACTCTCAAACGTACTTCCTTTGAAATAAGCATAACTTTCTTACGAAATATCCGGGTTTCTGACCTCCAAAATGTAAGAGGTAGCCATAATCTGAGAAATACAGTCCAGGTAGTTTTGATCCCTTCATATTAATTTTATTTTTTACTTAATTCGCAATATCTCGAGAAGTTTTTAAGCGAATTAAAACATGTTTGAAAACAATTATAACATTCATTTATCCAAAGTTAATTTCATGCAAAAAATATTTTTTAGTAAATATTTCAATTTATTTTATTTTATTTAATAATAGTCAAAGAATCTGTATTGTAAGGTATGTAGTTTTTTACATTATTATAAAGAATGTAATTTTACGAAGCACAATGCAAATTTTGAGCGAAATCGATCGAATAATTCCTGAGAAATTAAGATTTAAAAATTTTTATTATTGAAATTACATTTCTCAAAAACTAATGAGACTATATTTTTCAAATTACGACTATCCCCTATATTTTGAGGGGCAAATATCCAAATGTATGGCGTATTTTTTAATATGATAAAGTACGTTTCTCGGCTTGATATCGTTACTTAAAATATCGTCTTCACTAATTTTTTCTCTACAGTAAACTTTAATTTCCAAAAGTACCATTGACGTTTGAAAAAGACTCGTACTCCAAAAACACCTCATGTCTAATTAATTAATCTGAGGCAAAACGAAACAATATGATAAATTGAATTATTTAAAGCCAGTAAGAAAGTTTTTCTGTGAAAATGTACCGCTTGTTTTATTCTAAGAGTTAGTCATTTAAAAAACTGTTTAATTTGAAATATAAATATAGATCCTTAATTCTATCACTTACTTCCTTTATTACTAATGTCATTCTTTCTGTTACAGGAGCAAAACAAAACTTTTTAGACACTTCAACAAATGTGGCAAGGTAAAAACAATTCCCGAATTTTTCTCTATGTATCATAAATATATTTAAAAAATTTAAGTATTAAATATACAATACTTTTCAACTGAATTGAATTTTATCATAATAATGTTGAGTTGATTAGTAATATACAGCTCAGTTTGATTTATTATATAGTATATCAAATTTCTTCAAGCGAAGTCTTGGCTTCATATCTTGGCTGTTGTGACCCAGATTTATATAATGGCCCAAAATGCTAATTTATATTTAAAGAGAAAAGCTTAGCTTTTTCTTTGAGTACCTTAGAAAAAAGAAAACTTATAAATGTGATAATGCATTTTTTAAAAATAACTAAATTAAGATTAAATTTGAGTTATTTTTAATTAAAAGTTATTTTTAACTCAAAAAATATAAATCTCAAGTTTTAGTACCCTTTCTATATCGTAGGATATTTTTAAGATGCGCTTCTTCACATTCTGTAACGAAATCCATTAAATTCAATAAGATATTTATATATTATAAAAGTATCTAAAAGGTTAATTAATTCAAATTTCTTAGATTTCTTATCATTTTTTAGTATAATTAAAAGCTTCGACAAACCAAGGTAATCTTAATTATATTTTTATATCGAAATTCACTTTGTTAATATATACAATCAGAAAAAAATTCAAATAAATTTTTCAATTCAAATACTTTTTCAATTTATTTGATCTCGGGAAATTATTTTCATCTGATTATATGAAAAAAATATTTTTTTTCATTCAAGCATCCTGCAACTGTAATATGTTAAGCTGAATCCTTCAGAGGTGAATTTTTGAATTCAAATAATCTAATTTTAGTAATATTTGTATCGTAAATGTGGTTCAGCTTAACGACGATATAAGTTTCTTAAGAATGTTCACGATAAATTTATTCAAAAAACATCGCAGCATTTTAATTTCTATTAAACGTTTAATTTAAATATTATAGAGATACTTTTTAGTTGCATCAGCACAGGCCAGAATGGCCATTTCAAATCATATTCCGTCAATTGAACAGTACTCGTATTATTATAGTTGTAAAGGCAAAAACAAGGAGCGATTAAGCGTAATTTTCCTCGTTAGAGAGTTAGTGATTCTATTTTTTAATATTGTTTTTGAATTTTAAACTAATTTACTTTTCAGAATGACAAGTTTTCAAATAAATCACCATCCCGAAGAAAGGAAGAATTATTGGCGTCAAAAATACAATCACATTGCAACTTTTCTAGAAGAATATCGGCAACATATTTTCTACCTTTTCGTGTTCTATGTCATTAACATCGTCCTTTTCTTAGAAAGATTCATATGTAAGTATGCAATATATACAATACATTTTTTTAAGTATTATTTTCACTAAGAAAGTTCGTGCTTTTTGTAAATGGAAGAAATGGTTAGAGTGTGTGCTTCCGATTTTGTTTCATTCATTTTTCTCAAATAGCGGGAAAAATAATAAAGGAAAAAATTAGTTTGTATAAAATTTATCTATAAGCGAAGAAAAAAAATATATTTCTAATAGTCTAATCAATTCCGAGTTAATGAATTGTTCGTTTTTCACCACTGAAATGAAGGCAGACGTCCTAATTAAATGAATAAAAATTACCTATAAACGATTTGTTTCAGCAGTTGATAAAAAATATTTTCTATGCTCTTTCGGCGAATTTTTTTAATTTATTTGATTTCATTTACTTAGTCATTTTTATTTATTTTTTATTATTCATTTTTATTTATTTTCATTTATTCATTTTCATTTATTTATTTTCATTTATTTATTTTCATTTATGTATTTTTATTTTCTTTTATTTATTTTCTTTTATTTATTTTCTTTTATTTATTATCATTTATTTATTTTTTATTTATTTATTTTATTATTTTTTTTTATTTATTTATTACAAAAACTTTTTTCGGACATTTTGACAAGCTTATGAAAATACAAAAGAGAATATGTTTCGTCAAGAAAAAATAAATGTGATTTAAATTTAACTGAATTCAATTTTAAAAGTTATAGAAAATTTTATTTCCACCTCCAAATCGCACGAGTGTGCTTCAATCTCAATACCTTTGTTTATCACGTTGTAAAAGTTGATCAACAGAAGGTTGTTTATAGAAAAAATTACTGCATCATTGTACGAAAATACGAAGCAAATATACGAAAGATATCTTTTTTAGCTGCTTTATATTTTAGGTGACAATTGCCAGTCATGATACCATATACCACGCAATATAAATGTAATTTGAATCGTCAACAATTATTGAAGGACTTTTTATATTTTATTCTTCTATAGTATAAAATGCTGCCTTTTAAGCAGGGAGACATTTTTTAATAATAAAATAAAAAATATTATTTACATTTTAAATAAACAATATTTTTAATTGTTCATCATCACCAACTTCATACAAAAAGCAATGCAAATTCTTTATAGTAAACATAATTTCAGAAAATAAATACTGCAAAATTTAATAGTTTTTAGGTCAAATAAATCAATATGATATGATATATTCTTGGAACTTAGTTACCGCCTTGTGGTTACCACTTTATTATTTTTAACTAAATATGTGTTTTACTGTCTGAAATTGCAGAGGGTGAAATTTAACATCGCATTTTTCCACCTTGTCATTTCTTGTAACTATAAGTCAATTATTATCATTAACATTCTTAAGTAATTATATTATTATTCTTAATAATATTTTATTTTTTATTGTGTAATAATATTATTATTCTTTATAATAGTTTCGTAAACTGTTAATTACTGAGGAATATTGATAAAGTTTGCAAAACATATTGTTTAACTATATGAATGGCATTAGAACATTTATTATAACGATGTTTTATGAAATATTATGTAATCCAATTATAAAAAGATGATAGAAAAATATATGCACATTCATTCTTTATACTAAGTACTGCCTGTATTTTACCCAAGAAATTAATTTGAATTTTTTTTTTAAAAAAAAAGAACTAGAAGCTTTCTTTAAACTGCCATGTGCAATTATTATTGCTATCAATCAGGTATTTTCACTAAATTTGCTTCACTTGCTTATAACTGGTATGCTAATTTATAAAATTTAAAAAAAATGTCAACTATTTATATTAAGTACTAATAATAATAAAAATTTCAAAACATTTTTAATGATATTTTTTTTTTTTTTCATTTTCAATCTGATCCTTAAATATTCAACAGGATACTCTTCAGAACAATATATTTATTACAAAAATTACTCCATTAGGTAACTTTTTTAATGCGTTTTTTTACACTTTAATCTCTCAATACGATATTGACAATACCCTTTTTTACCATATTTACTCTAAAAACTACCTTAAAGCATTGCTTTTAAAGATTTCTTTTATTAATATTACTTTTTTTATTTTATTATATTGCATTATTTTATTTAAATACGATTTATTTTTATTGCCATTATTATTATTATTATTAGAATTCCATTAGCTTCACTTTTTGACTTGGAAATAAAACTGTTTCATTTTAGAGCTGCCATCTAGTGCAAGTAAAAATCAAAAGAAAAATGACTTGGGATACAAAAAATAAAAATTTAGTTTTTTAATATCTCGTGATTTTAAGGAAATTTATATTTTTTTTATTGGAGGAAAATGACCGGATTTTTTGGTATTTCGAGGTGTTTTGCTCCCAACTGTAAAATAATGAAACCTAATTTTTTATAAGTTTCAGTGCTGCCATCTAGTGAAAAAGTATCAAAACAGAATCTGACTCTACGACTATATGTACCCATACAATAGCGTACAGTGCACATGAGACATGATTTAGAATCTTAATAACTTTAATGAGTTAATCTTAACAACTTCCAAGTGAAACGTTTTTTACGGTTATCTCTAATTTCCTCAATCACGATTTAACTCGGATGAACCACTTTGGACACGCAAAAGTTTATTGATTGCAAATAATATATAAAGGAATAAGATTTAGTTGAACTTTAAAGTGATATAAAAACGTCATACGAAAAATAATATTAAGAAAAGACCAACAATTTTTTAAAATTATATTTTTGTGTTTACAAGCTGGTGTTACCCTGAAGAAAAGAGTTGTGCACATAAGCTATCGCTATTTATTTAAAAATTGTCGTATTGATAATGGTTGCTATGAAAATTTCATGGTTTTAGGAAGTAACATTCTTAGAATAAAACAAGGGGGGGAGTTCAGGAAACTATTAGTTAATCAGGGGATGTAACTATTAGTGAATAAGCGAAAGTGATTGTGATTCGACCCAACATATCTATGAATAATCAGTCGCTATAAACACTTACTAAGTATGAAGAAAGCAATAAAAAAAATTATCAAAAAAGTTAGGAAACTGAAATAATTTATGCAAGTTACTCATTGTTATGCATTAGTTATATGTTAATTGATGCTGAATTAGTGAAAACAGGTAAATAGCGAAATGCGTGAATTCGAATATTAGCGAATCAGTAAATTACTGAACAAAGGAATCAATTTTAAATAAGTAAAGAATTTATAAAACAATTTCATACAGAAAACAGAGTACAATTTATTAATATTCATTTTCATTCGGTTATTTAGCTATAAGTTGCGCTCAAAACAGAAAATTAAAAGAGAATAAGTTATTGAAAGTATTTTCGTATATAACTTGTGTAATGTCAAAAGTTCAATCATTAATGCTGTTTTTCGAAGCTTTGTCATGAAAGAAAATAAAAAAAAGTCATAGGTTAAGTAAGTGCCTTACACTTGAAGCAATGCGATGATTTTAAACTGTATATATGTATAATCTTGCCATGAAAATTTATCTGGTCCTTAGAACAGACAAATAACTTAAATTTCTTAAAAGCTATTAATTTTTTTTTTAAAATTCACTAATTTGTCGACATTTTTCACCTAGATAAAAATGTTCAAATCTTTGCCTGATTCTCAGTTTTTGCAAATTTTTATGAGTACACATTAGAGTAGTTTTCAAATATTAAAAAATTAGACCAAAAGCGCTTTTCATTTTCACAAAACTGTGGCTTTACTCCATAATGACGTATTGCACCTATTTTCAAAATAAGCGTCGACAGCGCTGGCTTTAGATAACCTAAACTTGACCTGACTGCCATAAGTAACAGTTGCAAACACGCAGCAGTCATAAAAATTGCATATTATTCGCAAAAAAGCGTCATTTCGTATTACGACGGAGACTTCGAAAAATAGCCTTAATTTTTCAATAACAGAACGAAAGTTAAATTCAAAAATAATCGTACTATATGTTACATATATTGATTTAAAAAATACTTTTACATAGCTTAAAAAATATATAAAGCTCGGTTTGAGATAAATGGAACTGTAGATTTTAAATTAAGGCAATCTTATTTAAAACACGGCAATTTTCAGGAGTGATTACAAATGATGAACAGTTTTTTTAACAAAAAAATAATAAACCTCGATTTCTTTTTGCAGACTACACGTACTTTGCAGAGCATATGGACCTTCGCCACGTAATGGGTGCCGGCATAGCTTTCACACGTGGTTCAGCTGCTTCCCTTTCCTTCTGTTACTCTATCCTCCTGTTGACTATGTGTCGGAATCTCATCACCAAAATTAGAGAGACGTCTCTGCAACAGTTCATACCACTCGACTCCCACGTCCAGTTTCACAAGATAGTTGCCCTAACGGCTCTCTTTTTCACGAGTAAGTCAACTTTATCAACAATGATCCTCTTAACTTCTTCTAAGCCAGAACTACACTCTAGTGAAGGTTGAAGCTTTCTCAATTTGCTTCCTCCGAAGCAGACCATCGATAATCAATTTAACTGTAATATGTAAATATTTCACAGTGACTGAAATTCATAATTTACTTTTTTTGATTCATAGCATCTTTAAAAGAAAGAAGAAAAAAAACTATTGAAATTTATTATAGTCTTTATAAGTGAAATAGAGGTTTCAAGGACGATTTCCCCACTTTTCCCCTCTCCGTTACTATGGTATCACAAATACGTTTCTTTACCAAGGCAACGAAAGCAGCAAATGTGACCTTTAGAGACCAGTTTAATTACAAGGAGTATAAGATAGTTTTGGGCCGGGATAGCCTGGTTAGCAGAAAGTTAGGCCCATGGCTAAAGAGGTCGTGAGTTCGATTCCTGCCGCCGAAGACTCCGTTTATAGTAAATGGTAACTGGTGCACGTTAAATATGTCAGGTCAAGAAATCATCCAGGTTCCCACAATAAATCATACTTCTGGAGGTACGGAATTGGAGATTGATCATTCTTTGCTTCTTAAAATTACGATCTGTGGATGAAGGAATGGGTCCGCTCTATAAGCGGGCTGTGACGCATGTGTGAGACAGAAGTCGAATTTTGGCTATAGATGGCGCCACTGAAAAACAAGAAGCTCGCTCCTCTTGCCTTAATGGCATACGACAATAACAACAACATAAGATAATCTTCATTAGATTAACGTTGAAATCGCTAACAATCCGGCGTTTATGTTGTTTTCCAACCATTTTTATTGCTTTATTTATTTATTTGGGATTTGTATTATTACTTTTGTTTATTTATTTATTGCCGATCAAAGTAACTCAAAAATTATTATTATTTTTTTTTATCTCTTGAATCGAACAAAATTTTTAGTTTCCTAATAATCTAGATATAAAATTAAACTAATCATTGACCAAATAATAAAAATAGAAATGAGATCTGAAAATCCTTCAAAAGTTCTGCTTATAATTACATTTTAGTAGCTATTCAAAAATATCTAAGATTGTTTTGCAGCAAAATGCAAATAAAACATATAAATCAATTTCATAAGACATTCAATTTATTGAATTTATAATAATTTGTTGTTGTTGTTTTCAATGCCACTTGCCAATATCAGCAAGCCTGCTTGGTGAAACCAAGTGAATTTATGGCAAAAGTCGCATTTCTTGTTTTTCAGTGGTGGAATCTATGGCCAAAAATACGACTATAACCTCACACGCCTCACAACCCGTAGGGCAGACCTATTCATACATCCACAGATCGTAGTTTTGACCTGAACCAGAGAACGATCAATCTCCAATTCCGTACCGCCAGAGTTTTTTGTTATGAAAACATGGAGGACTTTGTGACCCGACAGATTAAACATGCACAGGTCACCATTTACTAGTCTTAGGCCTGTGGGGATCAAACCCACTACCATTTGGACATAGGCCAAGCGCTCAACCAACCAGGCAATCTTGTAACTAATCTGAACTTGAAATCTTATTTTACCTTGTTGTGCATTTCTAGATTTTCATATTTTTCTTTTACTGTGAAATGATTGCCCAATGAAAATAGCATTTGAACTGATATTTAGAGTATAACACTTAAAAAATCATTTTTGTTGGTTTATAGCTTCTGTAAACTTTTTACTCAGAATTAACGTACATGTTTGTCATACAATATGTCCCAAAATGCCGTGTACAGATTTGGAAAGGAGGTACAGAACATGATTAGAAGCCATAATTACATAGGAAAGCATGGATGAAAACGTCACACTCACGACTTACAAGTACCACAGCAAAAGGTGTTCGAAATTGAGCCAATTGGCTTGGATGCACGAATGGCACCTACGCGACATGGATTGCCGAATATTTTCGGAGATACCAGGCATTTCTCTGATCGGAGCAGCAGTGATGAAGATTCATTCCACCAGGTCGATTTCAGAATTTTCGAGAGTGTCATACACAATGCTCTTCATGGCACCCCAGATGAAAAAAAATCAAGGGGACATAAATTAAGTGATCTGGGAGGTCAAGCAATAGGACCACCACACCCATTCCATTTGTACGTCCAATTAAAGCCCAATTGAATCTACTCGCATACAGCGCCACCAATCAAATTAAGTCAATGCTTTCCTAAGTAATAATGCTTCTCATGATGTTTTCCACCTTCCATCCAAGTTAGTACTTGGCATTCTGGGACATCCTGTATGTTTAATAAAGAAATAATATTTTTATTAATCTCAATTGAAACGATTTCTGTTCTAGTTGTCCATAGTGTGGGGCATTACATAAATTTTTACCACGTGTCCACACAACCTCTGGATCATCTCAGGTGTTTAACACAAGAAATGCAATTTGAGTAAGTGCATTAGTTGTTTCAATAAATAGTTTAAACAAATGATGTCAGCTACTTTATTTTTAAATTCACTTTATAGGTCTGATTTCAAGCCGACAATTGCTTTCTGGTTATTTAAAACCGTAACAGGTAAAAAAAAAATATTGCAATTTTTATTTATCTTTTTTAATTAATTATTACATTTTATTCCAATTTGAAGAATTTAGATTAATAAGGAAGACAATTTCAAAATAACTAAATAATTATTGGTAAACAGATTTACATGATGACGTTCAGTTTGCTAAACTTCATTTTCTCTTGCATACAGTATATAAACTTTGCGTGAAGTTCGGATCACTATTTATTATCAATTAAAACATTTTTTATGAATTAACCCTCTAATCAATAATTTCTGATAATTCCACAATAAAAATTAATCTAACTAAGAAAATTAACTGCATAAGTTTAATACCTATCTATTTGTCTTTTACGGCCCACAAATGAAACTATTATTCCCTTTTATTTAAACTTTTTTCACCCTTTACAGTTTCATACTTTAAAGAAAAATCTGTGAAGACTTCTCTTTTAATCGTGTTATATTTTCTAAACAAATTTACGTCGAACCTTTTGAGAAGCTATGTAAGCTGAACTTAAAGTTTTATATTTCTTAGAAACTTAAAATACAATAACATATGCTTAACACTTCGGATTTGTAACTAATTTTGCCTGGAAACATTTTCGAAACTCTCTTAGCTATTAAATCTTATCCAAATATAATTTGTGCATTTTGTTATAATAATTACGCCAAATTAATTGTATTTTTATTTATTAATTTAAACAATTTGGATTATAGGAGTTGAAATTATTAGATAATGAATCGTACTTGCTATTTTTAGGTATTACAGGAGTACTGTTATTTGCCATAGTGTGCATTATCTTCATATTTGCACATCCTAAGATCAGAGAGAAGGCATACAGCTATTTTTGGACCACGCACAGCCTGTACGTTCTCCTGTACATTCTTTGCCTTGTCCACGGACTTGCCAAACTAACGGGAGTAAGTATCTCTTATATCTGATTGTTTTCTTTTTCTTTCTATAAATTCTATATTTAAACTCTTATTGTGTTACTTTTAAACAGAAGAAACAGGAAAAAAATATACGTTTCATTAAATTTTATTTTATAACCGTCGTTGAACAGCCGACCCAATTTTCGGGTTTACGTTTACTAATGCATAATGTTGCGCAGAATCTTACGCATAAATGTTGCGACAGACTTCTAGGAAAGTTAGAATCAGGATTAAAATCGCATAGGAAGCCATTATCAGAAATGTTGCCATGCGCAGCTAGGGGCGCTTTCCTATTCTGAACTAATTTTTTATGCTCTTCTGAACAGCTCATAGTAGGAGAAACTCCTCCAGCCGCGTGCGACGACATTTCCTGGTATGGGTTCCGATGCAATTTTCATCCTGATAATGTACCCTAACTCACTTAGAAATTTTTCGCAACAATTACGCAACCCCTGTAATAAATTAAGTTTCTAAACTTGCACATTTAGACAAATAAATGGATTAAAAATGTCATTTTAAAAGCATTAGCTTTAGGAGCAAAACTATTTTCATATTTGAAATCCAAACACCCGAATGAGGCAAAATGAAGTATAAGTAAAAAAATGCACAAAAAAATTGTTTCTCATTGCTATCAAAAAATTAAATAGATTGTGGAAGTGATGCATTAAGGAAAATGGATAACGGAAATTTGTATCAGATCAGAGTGTATTGTTTACATATAAGCGAAATGATAAATTGATAATTTAATATTATTAAATACAATAACATCATTTTATATCTACTGTGTCTTTAGGCATTTTCACTTCAGAGTAGCGATTCAATCGTTTATTCATCACGTGATTCATGCAAATCATTTTTTAGTTTAAAAAATATTGTGTACATTGCACTCAAATCGTGTTGATATATGAAAATAATTTTATACTTTATCACATTTACAAGAATGTACTTTAGCACACATTTCTCATATTTACGCGAAGACTCTAAATGAAACAAATCTTATATCAAATTGTCCCTGACTTAAAAAATTAATGTTTAATACCAAGTAAGTTAATTACCTGATTAAAAAACTGATTAAAAACTGCAAGATTGTAAATTAACGTTTTAAAATAAACAAAAATTTTATACATTTTAGACATTCAATTGAATGATATCAAAGACTTTTAAAAGGATTTTGTAACAAACTACGGAGTTTCACGTAAAAAAGTAATATTAAATAACTGTTTTATTTAATAAGTTTGTATCAGATATGCTAAAACTTATTTGTCTTATTTCCAGAGTCCTCGTTTCTGGATGTTTTTTATTGGACCCGCTATTATTTTCACACTGGATAAAATTGTTAGTTTGCAAACAAAATACATGGAATTAGAAATTATAGATACAGAGCTTCTACCTTCAGGTGAGATTTTTAAATATGTTCTACTCTTTTCTAGGCTTAAAAATATTTAAAATATAAATTATGATTGAGAACAAATGATATTTGTTTCATGTTTTCCTGACATTTGTTTCATGTTTTTTAATTTGTTATTACATTATCCTAGCCATAGACTCGATAAATATCCACTCATTGTTCATAGAAGAAATTTTGGTAAAAAAACTCCCAACATTTCACAGACATTTATCTATGCACACATATCTTGCAATGTTAACTTTTCTTTACTGATTTAACTAGCTTCATACCAAACATGGCGGTGTCTCGTTTTTTCTTGCGATGACAGAAGTTTTTTTTTTCTTTTTTTCTTTTTTCTTTTTTTTTTTTTAATGGAATTGAATTTCTGAAAAATATGATCTTAAAGATGGCCGGACTTGAATGTTGTTTTCTGATTTGGACTCTTCAAAAATGACTTGTAATAGTATTTTGAGATAGTGTGGGTAAATCATAAAAGTATTCGGAAAAGTATAATAAATATTTCAGATTTTTTCATGTTGTATTAAAATTTGTGGTATCAAATTTTTCTGTACTTGTTTTAAATAATAGAGGAATACAATATTTTTTTAAAACTTTAATCTCTTCCTTAAATATATTTTGTTTTTTTATTAAAAAAAATAGGAAAGAAGGCTTTTGTTAAAAATAAAAAAGACTAAGAAAAGCACAAATAAACATGCTTGTGTTAATAGGATATTATTTTTTACGTTGCTTAGATTTATTCTTGCATGGCAGAAAATTCATGTTCATGCTTTCCTCCTTTGGATACCTACAAATCATCGTCATCGACTTCATCATAGATAGAGCCCCTGAATTAGACAGTATAGGAGCCTTAATCATAGATAAAATTATAGCATTTGTCGATTCCAAAGCCAATCAGGTTCGACCCACACGCGTGACGTCGCTTACAGGTATCCAATGAAATCTGATATCAAGCACATGATTAAGCATAATCACTTCACTTCTTCTCGAGTTGCAAGTACCCAATTGGAAAGATGTCCGAATCGTGCATAACAATGGTAATATTCACAATCTGTCCTAAAAATAAAAAAAACTACCGGAAGGCTTGAGATCCTCTTCTGAAGTCACAGCATTGACGTGATTGTTTCTCTTCCTTTTGGCGTTCCGGGTTCTTTTATATATACTCGGAATATTTAGTTATTCTAAATTTAATTTTTGTGTTGTATTTTTGAGAAAAATTGTGTTCTTTATATTTTAAAATATCAGATGTAGAATAGAAAAAAAAGCATTTTGGGAAATTATCCTATATTGATATGCAATTTTTTCTGATCGTTGAAATGCGGGCTTACGCAATTTAGTTTACACTAGCAGAAATTCTTTTGCCTGTGTCTTCTACCGGAAGTTGACACAATCTCTACAAATACTGCCCCCGAGAACATGAAACACGGTCGAGAATAAAGTCAATTGAAAGATGAATTGGGGTGCAATAATACAAGACTATAATAATGATAAATTCATTCTTCCTTTGTGGCTTTCAATTACTTATTGATAAAAAAAATGCTTTTCCTTATATTTTTATAACTTATGCTATCTTCATTTCGATAGACGTAACGAAAGTAAAGTTCGCTCGTCCACCTAACTTCAAATATTTGTCGGGACAGTGGATCCGCCTGAGCTGTACCGCCTTCAGAAACGCAGAGTACCACTCATTGACACTAACTTCAGCACCACACGAGAACTATCTTTCAGTTCATGTGAAGGCACAGGGTCCTTGGACATGGAAGCTGCGCAACTACTTTGATCCCAATAACCTCAGTGATGGTCCCCTTCCTAAAGTAAGTGCCTTATTCAGTCATGACAAGAGAAATTTTAATGCTTCTTCCAATTGTTTTTAAAGTTAATAATCTAATTACTCAATAGTTTTTTCTATAATAATGCAATTATTACAACATTTAAATAGTTTTTAACTGAATCCAATGATTTGTCAAATGAGCTGTACTTTTGCTCAAAAATTGATGATATAATACGTTTTTTACCTCCGAATGCAAATGTTTTTTATGTAGGACAAAAGAAAAAAAACTTTTAAATTAAAAAATATTAATTATTTTGTGTAGTGCTCGTCATTTTTTTTATTTTTTATTTCCAACGGCAGGCCAATTTTAGAAGAACAAAAAGGATAAAATAACAAGAAAAACAAGGCAAAAAGAGATAAATAGAATAGAATGCTTAGTGACATGCTTAGCCCATACGGGCCCTAGCCTCCCAGTAGCTTCCACACACAGTAGGGGAGATGAGCGCAGGACAGACGGAAATGTGGGGCAGGTCCATGTCCACCCCAAGGCGAAAGAGCTAGCATTTAGGACAGTCAAAAATGTTTATACTAAAAAGGTGTTTGACCAGACAGTCGTGGCCCGTTGCAAGTCTAAAGAGAGCAACTGCCTTAAACCTGGGCTGATTTGGGATAGTTAAAATGTGGTTGAACCAGGTTTTGTGTATATTGCTTTTACGGAAATTCTCTGAGAGCATGTTCCGGAATTGGCTTCGGACCAGCAATTTAAATGAGTGCAGAGAGGTGGAGCAAGCTTGGGCAATAGTTGTTCCTTTCTTGGCCAAGAAACCAGGTTTTTCAATACCCCAAATCCCGCAATGTTCCGGGATCCCCTGGAGGACGATTTGCTTTCCTTTTAGTGTCAGGTCTTTCAGACAATCAATGCATTTCTGAATGGAGATGGATTGGGGAATCAGTGGAGATTTAATATCAAGAAGTGCTGCTTTAGAATCAGATAAGATACTCGTCATAGCTTTCTTCATTATGGGGTCATTAATGTGTAGTGCATTTTAACAGTAGATTCCAAAATCAGATGACTTAACGCATGGCGCTGTTTGACATTTCTTTCGTTAAAACTGCTGTTACAATAAACTTACTATAACAGAGTGTGAATCTATAATTTATGAGTTCGTTTAAAAAATAAAACTTTTATAAAACTATGTTTTGTTTGTTTATAATAAAGCTTATGAATAAATTTTAAGTTTCGCTTCAAAGCTACATCGATTTCACTTATAAAATTTTCATGAAACAATTTATAAATATTGAAAAGTTTTTCCGAGGTTAATATTAAATTTTAGACTAAAAATACTCTCTTGTTTTCCCGATATTAGCTTTTAAGTTATGCAAAATGAATTGCTATATCTTCAAGAATATTATCCTTCAAGAATATTATCCTTGGCTTAAAATTACTAGACAGTATTTTTCAAAACAAAGAGTATCCCTTAAAAGAAACATTAGCTTAATTATAGTTAGAATATTTATAGTTCTGCACTGCCATTAGGGTCTATGATTAAACGAGGGGAAAAAAGAAAAACGATGTCGAGATCAGTCAAATCACTAGTGAGGTAGATGGAATGAAAGGCATCAAAACTAGTTTGGTTTCCGAGGAAACTTGTTTTAATAAGTGGTTTTTCGAATTCTATTTCATCCAGCAATCAAGCTGGTTTTGGAGTTTCCAGTCCTGCCTGCCTCGGTAGTGATTCGTAAGATAGTCAAAGCGTTTTTATTCCCTCTGGCACACTGACCTTTTTGTGTACGTACTATTTTAAAGAATATTTGTCCATAGCTTTTTTAAAATATGTATATTAAGTGATTATTATAATACACCAAGCATATTTTTCAACAACTTCTGAGCCCAAGTCTGCGTGTTCGACCCCCGGCCCAGACACCGGATTTTCGGGATGCAGAAAATCCTCAGTGGCCATGTCGTATGATTATGCGGCATGTAAAAGATCCCTGGAGTGCCTCATTGGCTCTTGGCATTTCCGGCAAAATTAAATTCCTAGTGCACTTTAGCATCCAAATAGAGTCTCGATGCTACCATCTAGTGTGGCAGAAACTAGACGTCCAAATTAACATGGCCAACGGTATCTCACCCATTGTGGTGGTCCTGAAAGAGTGGATACCACTTCTGGAAAACGCACTAGGTCTGCTCATGGGGAAGACAGATTGTGCAGCTCATAGGAAATAAAATAAAAAATATTTTTCAACTTGTTGTATTGCATTAACGCTAAGTGTTCAAAAACTATAGAATTCGAACTATAAATAGCTAAAAATACGAATTTTCTTTTAGATTCGCTTAGAAGGACCGTACGGAGGAGGTAATCAAGATTGGTACAAGTTTGAAGTTGCCGTTATGGTTGGGGGTGGTATAGGTGTTACTCCATATGCTTCCATTCTCAACGACCTCGTGTTTGGCACCTCTACAAATAGATATTCTGGAGTTGCTTGTAAGAAGGTGGGTAGAAAATATATATTAATTAATCTATGTTTTTATTGCTATTTATACCTTTAAAGACGTAAATAGTAACTTAGACAACTACTTCAAAATATATTTAAATCTCCGCTAAAGGATAATTATATTGGTTTCGTAGTGGAGAAAATGTAATTATTCAGAAAATGTTCAAATTGCTTCGTTGATTACTAGTGATCATATTGAGAACAAATTTTTTTAAATTTTATTTTATAACCGTCGTTGAACAGCCAACTCGATTTTCGGACTTAAGACTAGCAATGTTCAACTTAACAGTCTTGTAATTTTGAACTTAATCTAGAAGACAAGAGAACTCATGGATCAAGTATTGGGAGAAATTGGTTGGAATTAACCTGCATTTGCGTTACATGGAGAGGAAAACTACGAAAACCTCCCACAGTTAGCCTGACTACAAGGAAATTCAATCCCAAGATCCTTCTACCACTGTGAAAATTTTACTTCCACACTATTGTCGGTACAAGCCGGGAGTGATATTCGTAACTACATCATCGCTTGGATTCGAACCCGGTTCACCTTATTGGTAGGCGAGAACTCAATCCCCTGGTCCACCACGCCTCAGGATTTTTGTAAATAAAGTGTTTTGAGTTATTTCTTAAATTATTAGCATAATAGCATTTATTAATAACGAAATTGATTCATCAAGCCCTACCAAAACTCTCTTGCTTATTTAGAATTACATAGTCTAGCTCATGCGGTTGGAGGCTTTTTTTAAAATAATAATTATGATTTATTCGACATTATCACAAACTTAATTCAATGATGCCACCACATACCTTATTTTACATGGTCAAAAGCTCATTCCATACTATCGCCAATTTTCGTCGATTTGATCATAAGCTTATTTATCGTAATATCACAAATTTTAATCTGATCACAAGCTTATTCATTGATACCATCACTAAATTTATTCAATATTATCTCTGGCTTTTACCATCGTAAGTCTTACAGGACATGATCAAAAGCTTATTTATAATCGTGATTCTTAGTTCGAATCATCAGTATTTTCATGAATCTTATTCGAAGTAATTTTAATTTCAAAAAGTGAATAACTATATCTGCCAAGAATGCAAAACTTAACCTGATGATATCGCGTAGCCCGTTCGACACAATCGTAGAACTTACTTAACACGATTACCATTAAGTAAATTACTTTATTATTGAAGTTCATAATACATTCTCTTAGACCTTATCTGACACAATAGCAATTATTAATGATAGTCTCTGAACTAATTTAATAATCTCGCTGGATAGATTTAATTAAGGAAATTTTATAATATTGCAGTATAAAAACCTTCTTTTTAAATCTAATTTTATGTATTTATTTTTAACTAGAGTCCTATAGAACTTCCTATCTTCCTATGAATTTAAGTTGAAATTAAGTTGAATTTAAGTTCCTATGAAAAGTTGATACAGGTATGGATGGGTAAGCATCGCGAGTAAAGGGATCTGGCAAAAATTTCCTTCCCCTTCAGATCTATGTCTAAATTAAGAAAGCTGCCACACGAATGAGTGGTGCTGCCATCTATCCGTAGAGTTCTGAGCCAATATGTACTTTGACCCTTGTGGTGCTCTCTTGTCAGACGAAAGGTGCACCTCCCTGAGTTAATTCTCAAAACGCAAATGGCTGACGAGATTGGCTTGCAGAAGTGTCATTCGAAGCAACAGTATAATTATGACATTCAAATCCCTGAATACCTGCATTCTTTCATATAATCTTCTTATTAAAATGTTTTTAACAGGTGTATTTCCTTTGGATTTGTCCATCACACCGTCACTTTGAGTGGTTCATAGATGTTCTGAGGGACGTTGAGAGGAAGGACGTCACTAACGTCTTAGAAGTTCATATCTTCATTACTCAATTCTTTCACAAGTTCGATCTGCGAACTACCATGCTGGTAAGTTTAGTCACATTTTTTAGATTTTGAAATTGTATCATAGTAGCCAAGAAATGGTAAAATTTTAAATACGAGAAAAAGAAATTTTGGCCATTAAAGTGCAGTACCATTGAAGTAATTATCCTATATTCAGTATCCAGACAAAGTGTTCTATTACCAGTTGCCAATTATTGGTGATTTTTCCAAAATTATTCTTTTAAAGTTTGATTGTCAAAACAATTACACGGAAACAAATTACACAAACCACCTACAAAAAAATAATTACATTGAAAAACAATTTCTTTTTCTGTTGCATGGGATTTTTTTAATAGATCTTTGATACTTTAGTATCACTGATTTCAAATCTACAAGCGGATCCTCTCTCTAAACTACAGTTTTTTTAATGGCATTTTTTGTCAATCTTTTGTCGAAATGTACAAGTTTAAAAACGTTTTATATAACAAGGGGTTGAGTAAATGTTGCGACAAATCGTTCACCTCTATGAGCATTTCCCTATTATGAAGTGTTTCTTCGTGTGTTTCTGAGCAGGTTAAAATAAGGAAACGCCCCTAGCCGTTTACGATGACCTTCTGGCATGATGTTCTGGGCATGAGTTTCTGAGCAATTTAAATTCTGATGGATTGCCTGAACTAAAAGTTTATTGTAACATTTCACTATTATAAATAACATTTTTAAACTTTCATTTCAACAAAAAATAGATTCAAAATGTCATTTAAAAAAGAAATATGTAGCTTCAGAGGCAAAACTAATTTCAGATTTGAAATTCCCGCACCTGAATATAATATGTATAAAGTATATATTAGTCAAGATCAAGTATTTGTGATGTAAACGCAACAAACAATTTGTGCACCCTGTTATTAATTTCTTTTATAATATGAAAACAGGATTCACAGATTCCATGATTTATCCCCCCAAATTCATTAGCCCTTATTATTTAAAATAAACATACACTAGTTATATTCTATTTTGAGTTTTTAGTATAAACTGACAACCAAAAAAAATAATAAATAAATAATAAGCAACATTTTCAAGCTGTCTTGTGGAGCTTTTTAAAAGTGTTTCTGGTACCATGAGCCCATGAACTACCATGAATCACTCAGAAGGCCAGTGTTTCCCAAGCTTATGACTTTTGTGTCCCCTTTCTGAATTTTTCGTTACGCTGTGTACCACTAATAAAAAAAAATGAATGTATTTTTTACTATAAAAAATTGCACAGAAGTTAAAAATCACAACTGGCTGNCACTAATTATTAACTGTTAACTCCGCAAAAAAATAGCCAATGGAAAAATACGTAATCGTAAATTTTCATGGCTAGCTTTGTTTTCAAATAAATGTTTTTGAAATTTTCATTTTTTTGCTAGATATTTCTCACAAGATCCACCGCTAAACTGTCCCGTACCACTGGGGGTACGCGTACCACACTTTGGGAAACAATGCTGTAGGCAATAAAGCTTTTCTGTGCTATTATCGTGTGAAAACTCCGATAACTAAGATACTTGTCTCAAAACAATATTGAAAAATATTTTGATGTGAAAATGACAGATTTAATAATAGAGGCATAACTAAATTGTCCCTAATTCTTCATTTTTTCAAAGATTCATTTCTAATAATGAAATCATGAATGTAAATAATAAAATGTTAAAATAAATGATAAGTATTACTAGAATAGAAAATACTAAAATAGATTTTAGTATTTTCTCGCTTTTAATGCGTTAAAATGGAATTATATTTCTTATTTTCACTCTATTTAAGTATTTTAAGCTGGAAATCCTTTTAGGTGAAAATAAACTAAGAAAATAAATATCCTTCATTAAAAAAAAGTTAACGCACAAGAATTCTTGTTTAAATGAAATCTATTTTCTAAAATAACAGTAAAATATAATTTTCTATCAACTCATTTTTATTTCTCATATCATTTTTAGCCCATTGAGTCTAATTCACAACAATTTGACAAACATAGACTAATTTCGAAACTATTTTGTTTTCAGTATATATGTGAAACGCATTTTCAAAGGATATCAAATTGCAGTATGTTTACCGGCTTGAAGGCCGTTAATCATTTTGGAAGACCAGATATGACAGCATTCCTAAAGTTCGTTCAACAGCAACACGCATACGTAAGTGGTTCAAGCATTTATATATAATTTCAATTATTAACAATGAACAGGTAAATAATAAACTCTCTTTACTGATTTGAAAAGAAACGGGGTGTGGGTTTGTTAAAATTTTAAGGATTGTGCCATTTAGCAAACCATATTTATAATTTTAAGAGACTGCGTTGGTTTTTGGAGAGTTTTGATTTGCACCACCATTTAATAGCATGAGCTCTTTTATATTGTTCGTTAGTATGATGACCATCATTTTAAATGTATTTTACACTAAGTTTCCTTTTTTAATTTTTTTCCACTTGTTTTTCTGTTGCATCGTTTTAAGGATAGTTCTAAATAGTATTTACGTGTAATTTTGAAGTCATATTATTAAATTGGTTAATAAATCTAAATTTATATTGTGATAATTATTGCATCAGAAAGGTTCTGGGTTTGAATCCCGGGCAAGACATAGATGTTCTTTCCTTCTCTGTACTATCTGTCCTGTGGTCAACGTCACTGTGGGAGCGACGTTGGCCCACCTAAAATGGTGCCCCTGAAAGAGAGTCCAGCAAAATCGCCCTGCATATGCCTGAATTGACGGATGTTAACACAGGTGGGCATTAGAAAAAAAAATGCGATAATTATCATCAGGTGGTGCTAATGACTGGAAAACTATGCTTTCTGTTTCACGTTGTGCTAGAGACTATCAGAAAACTATCTAACTGGTAGCAAAATTTCTAAAAGAACATTAGAAAACTCACCTTTTATCACTTTAAAAATTTTTAGATTAGAGAATCTCTTCAAGAGATTTCTGTTCCTAAAATATAATATTGGACAAGTTAAACAGTGAGTTTTCAAATAACAGTTTAGAAATTTTGCAATCAGTTTTTTGAAGAAGCTGGACTACTTAGTTGTAACTATTCCAAATGAAGCATTTTCACGTCATTTTTAATTTTGTCTTCAGTTTCTCCAAATTAATAACATCTGCTATTGTGAAAAGTTTTTACTTATATCTCAGTTAGCAGCTCCATCTATTGAACTACCTTATAAATAATTTATAAAATTGGCAAGAGTAAATTCGATTCAAAAGCATAACTCAGCAAACGGTACATTTTTATTTCTTCTTTTTTTCCCATTTTGATAATCACGTTTTAAATAAACGGTAGGTATATATTACAATGAGTAAAAAAATGAATCTTGAAATTTTTGAATGTTTTACGGCGGAAAAGTTGCCTATTGTAATAAAAATAAAGCAATAAAACTTTAAAATTGGTAAACATCTTGCCTTAGCTCATCTTTATTAAAAGTAATGAAAACTATAAAAAAAATCACGCCTTGTGAAATTTCGTTACGTTGGCAAAACTTCTGAAATAAAAGGCTGCAGTTTGTTATGCTTCTTCGATAGTTTGAGTAACCTAATAAATTAAATTCTGATCAATGATTTGGTTCTTTTACGTCTACACAACGTTATAGAAAAATGCAAGTTTACCAATTTTTCGTAATTTTTTCTTCGTTCACCCTGTTGGATCAGAACAACCCTCACCCCCCACAGTGAAGATGGTTGGACACATAGGTCCAGCTACACTTACTTACTACATTGACAAGGCTATTTTTTTACCTACTACACATTTAAAGTCTGATACTTTGAAGAAATGAGGATTAACTGATCTAGATCTTAGCGCCTTGGCATATTCATCTCTAGCTTCATGATCACAAGTTTAACACAGCTTTAGATTGCTTAGGAGTAACAGTGAAACTTCGGTATTTTTCTAATTCGCATGATACCAGTCTAGTCTAGTCATTTAAGTCTTGCAGCATTGGGGGAGGGTATACCACGAAAGAATTCCGATTATTGATTTTAGAGTGATCTGAAGCTGGAAAGTTAATTTTTGGTAGTACGAAATTTGGTCTTTGATCAACGAATTCCTGTCAACCATCAATATCTGCAGTACATTTCAAATACAATCACCTTGGAGCATCGTCCAGACAACTTGGAAAATCACGTCCCTGTTTTTTTGTCCCAATCGAGACTGCTACTGTTGTCATTTAAGTCCTTAGGTTGCATTTAATAAGGATCTTACAAGACAAACCATCCCAACAAAAAAGACAGTTAGAAATTTTGTACTACTGAAAATAAATGTTAATTTATTATTATATTCAACTGATGCTGCCCTCCACCAACGTATTTAAAACAAGTTGTTTTTAAATATCGGTGCTAACCTGCGAAGAACCTCCATACTACTATTTCATATTTCCGTTGTCGTTATACATGTGTTGTTGTTTTTTTTTATATACAACTGTAATTGAACAACCAATCCAATTTTTTGAGTTTACGACTAATGTTCAACTTCGTATCCCTGTAATTTTGAACCCAATCCAGAAGACAAACGAACTGCCTGATCAATTATTGAAGGAAATTTGCCCTCGTGGAGAACTTTTTGATAGAACTAACCCTCATTTGCGTCATATGGAGAGGAAAGCCACAAAACCACTGTTAGCCTGACCGCAAGCGGCCCATGATTCATCTACTACTGGGAATATTTTACGTCTAAACTATGGTCGGTGCAAGTCGGGGATGCTCATTTTGTATCGACCAGCCATCGCTGGGATTCGAACTCGGTTCATTTCTTCGGAAAGCGAAAATTCTATTCCCTGAGCTATCACGGCTCATATGCGTATTTTGAATCTTCAACTGCAAATTTTCTTCGTTACATCAATTTAATTTAACGAGTGCGCATGTAATTCACAGATTATGGTGTGACACATTGATCCACCTTAGTTAAAGAAATGAAGTGATTCGTTTCAAGGATGTGAATCAATTTGCGGATAAATAAATAAAAATATGTGTCTAATTTGCGATATGCTAATACAGAAATTTCGATATAATTTTAAAATCTATATTAATTTTTTCTCCTTATTTCAGGTGAGCAAGGTTGGAGTCTTTAGCTGTGGTCCTTCCGCCATGACTAAAAACATTACGAAGTCATGCGAAACAGTCAACAAGAATAGAAAACTTCCTTATTTCATTCACCACTTTGAGAATTTTTAAAAACATCTCTCTATTCAACGTGGAATACTTATTGCGAAATTCTCATGGCCCTTGGTTCGAGAATCGATAGAAACTTGGTTCTCCTTCTGGCGTTATTTGATGGTTATTGAGTGGTTATGATGGATTGGCGCCTCTACAAACGAACTTTGAAGAAGACATCTTCTGACAATCAACGAGCTCTTACTCTTTGTGATGCCAAATTTTTCCCTTAACGCGCCGAGGGGAATAAACTGTTTTTAAAAGAGACTTGTGAATTTTAGAAAGATATGTTTTAAACCTAGTGTTCCTTTTTTGTTTTAATCAAGTATTTCACTGTAGTTTTAAGAAAACGGTATCAGTGAATTGTACATAAGTTTTTGAAAATATCTTGTTCGTGTAAATTTCTACTATAGGAAGTAACTGTGTTAATTTGTTAATTGTTTTGTTGCCATTTTGTTTAAATTTCTTTAAATTGCTTTTAAGCTAATGGTGAATTTTCTCATCATATATACGATTGTACTAAAAAAAAATTACATTTTAATGTTTTTGAAATAGCTTATTATTGCCTATATTAAGCTGAAAGTTTTTATTAAATAAAAATGAGTCTGATTAAATGATTAAATAAACTTTAATAAAATATATTAAATGAAGTCTTGATTGGTTAATTTACGTTTAATGCTGTTGAAAACAAACTAAAATACTGCTGCATATAAAATATTAAAAGATTTTGTTTAATAACTTAATTACTGATGCGTAGTTCCATAAAACGAGTGTATAGTCTTTAATTGAAACATCCTTAATTGAACTATTTATCAATAGTACATGATGTAATAATTCCTATTTTATTAATTATTCAGCACGAGTTTTCAATATATTTTTTCCAAATATGTTATATAGTCTGTGTTAATTTATGAAATATTGTGAATATTTTTATACAGTTTCTGAGGATTATAACTATGTAAAGCCAAATTGAATAAATCTTATCGGACTTACATATCTTTGCTCTTATAAAAAGTGCTCTAAATTTGTATAAATGAGCTTTAGGTCAAGTAAATTGGCATATTAATAATAATTTAAGAGACAGAACATTTAATAACAAAGTGATATGAATACAAGTCATGGTAAATTAGATACAAAATTAATAAATACAAAAATTTGTTTTCTAGAATAAGTAGTATAAAAAAATAAGTTCAGAAGACATTTATCCTAAGACATATTATAGTTTTTTTTTTAAAAAAATTGGCATTAGCCTCAGTAAATATTTCTCAAAGAAGCACACAATTTTCTAAATCATTGGACAAGATTAAAAAATACTTTGAGTAATCATACCGGCAGAGTAAGTATACAAAATGCTTTGTACTGCTCAATCACAATCTCACAAATAACTCAGTAGTTTATTTTTTTTAAAATATGCATAACTTTTTACTATTATAAAAAGCCACTTTTAAAACTCTTAAAGATTAAAAATCAGGCTCAATACTTCACTCGGAAAATCACGTTTCTTTCGTGTGATACATCTAGCAGAGAGATAATACGTTTCACCGTATCCACAAGCATATTTTGATCAGATATGTTGAGCAGAATACATATTTTCTCTCGCACTCGGAGCTCAGATGCTTTTACTACTTGCCTACCTTTTTTCGATGCAGCAAGAATTCTCAATCTTCTATTTTTTTAATTGTACTGGAGAATTGGTAAAGGTACGGAGCGTCATAAAACTTGTAAGAATTCGTGACATGCTGGATCACCCCTCCTAAGAGCAACTTCTGACCTAACTCTTCAGCTTCCACGTCATCTTGAGCAAGACCCTCTTCGATCATCCAATCTACCAGTTGATGACCCCAGAAGCAGTTTTCATATAATTCGTCAATCCATCTAATAAAGGGATAAATTAATGAGGTATTTAATTTCGAACCATTCAATAATAAGGAAAATTATATTTTTAAATTATAACTACATGTGTGAAAGGAACATAGAAATACATGCCTTGAAATTTCCAGAGGCAGTTTTAAATTTTTTAAAGAAATACCCGATTTTAAATATTGTAAATTTTCAAGACATACAATTTGAAGACAATATTGCCGTTTCGATGAATGTTTAAACAATGAAAAAAATTGTTTTTTAAAGCAGGCAGTAACTGCTTATTTCAAAGCCAGGTTAAACTAGTTTGATTCTTAAAAATTATAAAAAATAAGCTCTAAATTTTAAGAAGCACACCTGACTTTAGATTTCTTTATATAATATAAAATCATAGAAGTCTGATCTCGTTTTCCATTGTTGTCGGCGCATTTTTATTGGCTGGAAAATCACGAGGTAGGATCCAGTTTTCCCTCATTCATTTCCATATTGTTTAGGTTGTCATCAGCATATAATTAACAATAGTCGTAAAGGTATTCGCGATCGCAACGAACTATAGGGGGCGTTGTTGTATGAGACTAATACCTGCGATTTCTATATGAACAGTCATTCAGTTACTCTAGAGACGTCGTTAATGTAGCACGTAGCATTGCAACGTTCCTTCTCTATTGTGGCTAATTAAATTTAAAAAAGAAAAATGCTTGATATTCTTTCTTATGCAAACGAAAACAAAATGGTATCTCTTTTTATTAGAGAAGGAATATCCAAAACACATCGGAAAAATATTTGTACATTAACAGAAAAAAATATGTATATTCTTATAAGAGTTAAAACCTAATGCCCGAGAAATAGTATTACTAAATTTAATGATATAACATGAAAGGCCCATTTAAACTTTACATTCTATAGTTTTAAGAATCATATTAGTTCAAAAATTAAAATGAACAAAAAGTATACATAAGCCTCATAATTTTATGAAATTTAATTTTGTAAACAACGTTTTTTGACAACAATTTTTATCAAAAAATTTCAAGTTTCAATAAAAATCATTATTTAGAAACTAAGAAACGTAAAATAAAGAATGCTGACGAAACAAAAAAAAAAAAAAAAAAAAACAATTCTTTTTTGTCGCCATTTTTAGTGCTACGAATATTCGTCTTTGGGATTTGCCAAAAACAAAACAAGATGCAATTTTATTTTTTCAGGAGGGAAATATTTTACCGAAAAAACGAAAATGTACCAATTCCCACAACATAAAACTTTATCTTGGCAAACGTACGTTTTGGAAATGTTATTTCATTTGGAATCTTATTCATCAGAGTTCATATGGCGATATGATTGTTTTGAATCTATGCTAAACTCTATATCGGCTCATTTTCCACCGAAATCCAATTAACTATTTTGATTTTAAATAAAGTGTTTTATTTTATGAACTGTCGCAAAAATTTTAAGTGTAGATTGGCGGCACTTAAAAACCGCCAAATCTGTAGCGGCGGTGGCGTTAATACGTCGTAAGTACCGAATTTTTATTCCATACTTTTCTGAATCATATTATTTCAAACATTGGAATATACAAGAAGTATACATAAACACATAATGTTATACCATTTAATTTTTCAAAAGTATTTTGAGAACAATTTTTATCAAAAAATTATAAACTAAAAAACGGAAAATAAAGAATTCTTAGGATAAAAAAAACGATTTTAAGAATTATTAACATTGAAATAAAAACTTTCATATTGTTTCTTTTTTTATTATTCTTATAGTTCTTAATCAGACGTAAAAAACCATTCTGTAGAGAACCATCATCAAATGAAAAAAAAATATTTACAAGCAAATTTTTTATTGTAAAAATCATTGCACTTACCTGATTTATGATTCCCGGAGAATTCCAAAATGATAAGTTCCTTGTTTGAAAACTTTATTCTCAAATAATAGATACATAGTTTATACCTTCATTACTTTTAGATAACATACTACACAGCAAAATTTTATAATTGATATGAATTTGAATATGTAGCTAAAAACAGAATAGCTGAATTCTAGTTGAACTTATTCTTTCAAAATTAAAAAAAACTTACCAAGAAAACGATTTAAATTAATTAAGAATCAGCACAAATGGCACTATTTCAAGTAACTTGGATAATTTTTTATTGTTGTTTTCCGAATTATATGGATACAGAAATATATACTATTCTATAACGAAGAAGAATATGCTATAACTATTACAATTCTGTATGTTCTGAATTCATATTTATTCACTGGAATGACGAAAGCAATGTTGACTTCACTTTAATTCGTAATGAATTGAAGACAGAAGAAATGCATTTTACCTTAATACACACATCTGTAACAGTATCCGAAATCGGAAGTCATCAGTTGCAAGTTTGTTGATAATAGAAATTAAAAATTATTGAGGAATTTTTCTTCAAATGTTTGGCGTGTTCTGTTCCTGAAAGATTTACTAATATTCTGGAGATTTTTTTCAAGTTCTTCGGCCTTTTCCTTAGGGAAATTTTGTTTCTTATTTGCTGCTAAAAAATGGCGTCTGATTCAGTCAATGATTTTGATGGAGCTAAATGAAAACGTGATAAATTAATGTCTGATATTTACAGGCTCCCGCTAGACGGCGTACTCGAGCGTTGCGATCGCGAATTGTTTTCCTTTAAATATTTTTGTATCCCTAATTTAAACTTATTTTCCAGTACTGCTACTATTAGCGATAGTATTAAATTATGGTTGTGAACTCATCAAATGTGTTTGAACAATACAATGCTATAAGAATATAAATGTTATTTTAGAAGATGATTACTTCGAAAAATCACTTCCGTTCACCAAGAGATCTAATATTTGGGTAGAGTGACATTTGAGACAGTAATATTTAGACGTGGGAAGTAGAGGCACAAGAGTAAGTAAACAGAATTCCTTTTAGTACATATATGTTAAGTGAATAATTTTAACTTTAATGGAAACATTGTTTTCTGCCAAGAAAAGACAATTATTGCGAAGCAATATCGCAGAGCAATAACCGGGGTTGGTGAGCAGCAGCAAACAGGGGGCTTAGCCCCCTAGTGTTAGGATAAAATTTCAAAATTTGATAACTCATTTTGGAGTTGCACTGCAATCTAAAACCAGTAATAGTTTTAAAAAAATCAGTTTTCTCCCGTAGTAACTATCACATAATTTTGCATTAAACCACTCTGAGACTTTACAAAGATTTCGAAATTAGTTCTTAATTTTTAAAAGTATCTAAATTGAACTTCTGCATTTATATTTTAGATTAGGTTAAGAAAACATACTGTTTGAAATTCTTATTTTCAGTGATACATTTTCTGCTCGAACCGAACAATACATAACTAAAACAAATTATTTAAACTTTATATTTAAAAGTTACATGAAAAAATTAATATTTTATCATCAAATATACGTCCCATTTTATGAAATGGCTTGCTTAAAAGGTATTTAAGAAAATACACTTACTTCCTATCTCTTGCAATTCTTTGAAAGCATTGATTGAGATAGTATGAAGTAAATTTGCTACAGAAGGCTGAGATTTCTGTTCTAGATTCACTGGATATAAAATCTGTAATACCCTCTTCTTGACCGCAGCACATTGATCTCCATCTGTTATAGAAAAAACAATTCCGTTACATTGTAGATATGCTTTGTAACATAAGATTAATTTATCATTTTAAAGATCAAATAGCAGGAGCATGTGAAGCATTAGAAGAATGCAGCTATGGCGATGGTTAAAATAAAACTAATCTCTAATACTTTTTAATCAAAGTTTCTCTTCAATTAGTTTTCATAAAACTAAATTTTTAATAGTAACATTTAAAAAATATATATTTATAAATTGTTTAAATAGACCAATTAAAAAACCTTTTTGTTTTTAATTTTTTAGCACATTTTAAAAAGAGTGTTTAAATAAAATTACAAAGATCTAGATGGACAATATTTATTCGTCTCATATTGCTTTTAACATTTTAAGCGAACCCTAATGCTGTTTACAAGGTTTTATTTTATAACCGGCATTGAACAGCAGATCCAATTCTGAGGTTACGATAATCAATGTTCAACTCAATCGCCTTGTAACTTTGAACCCAATCCAGAAGACAAGGGAGCTCTTATATCAAGTATTGGGACAAACTAGCTTTCGTTGAGGACTTTTAGATGAAGCAAACAAGCATTTTCGTTATATGGAAGAGGAAAAAAAACCTATGATAAGCCCAAAATCAAGGAGATTTTAACCCATTTACGCCAGCATTGTCGGTGTGAGTTGGTCAACCAGACACAGCTGGGATAAGAACCTGGACACCTTATTGGGAGGTGAATGCTATCCCCTAAGTACTTATGGCTCTGTTTACAGTATTGACCAACATGAATATTTCAGGACAATAAATCTACTCCATTTTGTCTAGGAAAGATCTGAAAGTAAGGGGTGACTCAAATTTTCTCTGCCGAAATCATTCCAGACACACTTGATCGAATTCAGTTCTGGTGATCTAGCTGGCAACTCTATTCTTCAAATAGCTTCTTCTTCTGGTTTTTTTTTGGTCATATTTTATCATCCATAAAAATGAATAGGTACTTCTGAACAATATTCTAATATAACAATCCGTAATACTCTAAAATTTCAGTCTTGTATCTTATAAAAGTTCCCCCCCCCCTTTATAAAATATGCCCAAATGTGTGTAGGGTCATTCAACATCTTGCCTCTCCAACTCTACTTACATAATGACTCACTTCTTTGATAATGGAACGCTGGCTCTCCTCATGTCTGAACACGTTGAGAATCAGTATTTAGGCTGAACTAGGGCTCATCGAGACTGCGTTATCTCACTATGCATTTGCTCAAGGTTGATTTTGGTTAAATCAGTTAAGACACACTTCCCTGTGACAAAGACTTCTTTGATGCACAGGGCTGAGATCTGAGCCATGCATAATATTATACAGAGATGTTGCTGGTAATCAGCATATTTTTGTTTGTGAAAACATGCGCGCACACAGGACTGCTCGAAGATTACTATGAAGTCGAAGATATTCAGAGGATATAGTGGCCAGACAGACATCCGGAACTGAATTATTTCGAGCTTGCCTGGAATGATTTAGCCTTTCTGGAAAGCTTAACAATCACATTTCTTCAACTCCCCTTCGGAACCATTTGGTGCTAAGAACTGTTTTAATGGAAGGGTTTGTTTCATTGTCTCAAGACCTTAGACTGTGCGGTTACGTGTTCGCATCGAGTAATTCAGAACGTCTGATACCCTTCTGAAAGGTATGGCATCTAAGGACTTATTATTAAGTATTTGTTAACCATTTAAGCAAATATGGAGTTAATTGTTAGACATGCATTGCCGTAAGACAAAAAATCCTATCTCAAATCAAATCTGTCACAAGTGTAATATCACCAAATAAATTTTGTATTATTTTGTGATGATGAACGGTCGTGCCATTACCTTTTTGATGTATTTTTCTACCAAATGTCCTTTGATTTGGCTGGTTTTTTCTAAAGTTTTCCGCAAAAATGTTTTTTTTTTATATTTTAACTAACAAAGAGATATAGTAATCCTCTTCAATAAGAATACATTGACTAAGGTTCCAGTTGCTAATGTGTTGCCTGATTAAAATTTATTACTGAAATTTGGAATTCCGCAGCAAATTAATGGATTAAATATAAAAATAAAGTATTAGCATAATTAAATGTAAAGTATTACCAAATTATGGATTAAATATAACATTTATTTATCACTTACTTGTTTTGAATCTTTATAGTAATCGTTCTTGCATCAATTCCAAAAATCAAGAAATAAAATATACCCTACAAAATTATAAGAACAACATTTACCATAACAAATAATGTTATATTGACAAAATCGTTAGAAATAATTTTCTATATATTTGTCCTATTGCATGTTAAATATATTTCTATCTTAAACGTAAATATAATCACAAAACAACTTAGTCACATATGGTGGGGGGGGGGAATGTGGTCAATACTACGCACTATAGCTACCTTTACTTCCCAAAAAGCAGTTACCGATGATAAAATACCTATCTTATTAATGAAAGCTAAATTATTTAACCATTTCACAATCGCAGCTTCTATATATCTATTTTCAACATATTTCGAACTTATCTGAGATTATTTAGATTTGCATGTTATTAAACTTCTCTCATAATTATTGGTTCTTCTGTTAATGATCTTCAAAAATCAATTCGCGGATCAATTTCATGTTTCTTATTGTTCAATTTTTACCAAAAAATTACCACAAAATTCATCATAATTAACATTAATCCACAATGTGAATCCACAATATTTTTCGCAAACTTTTTCATCAATATAAAGCGTTTTCCAATATTTAATATTTTTTTTCACTGAGTTGATCGGTCTGTGTAGGGGTTAGGAAACTGCCCTTGCATCAGAAAGGTTCTGGGTTCGAATCCCGGGCAAAGGCATGGATGTTCTTTCCTTCTCTGCACTATCTGTCCTTACTGTGGGAGCAACGTTGGCCCACCTAATATGGTACCCCTGAAACAGAGGCCAACAAAACTGCCCTGTAAATGCCTGAATTGACTGAAAAATGTTAACACAGGTGGTCATTAGGAAAAAATTATTTTCACTGAAAGATTTTCGCAAAAAATGGTATAAAATAATTCATTTATCTGAGCAAAATCACATATCTAAAATGTACTACTTTTAAATTCTAACGAACTGGAAACAAAAAAGAACTCTGCAAAATACTACTAGTCTATAATGTGACATTTGAAAAATATTTTATCTTTATAGATAGGATTTAGCTTAAATATATAGAAAATACCTGTCCGATGAACATAGATGATTGAAAAAATTCCAACGGAATCATTACTTCGGATGATGTACTACCAGCCAGCTTATATAGATTTGCAACAAGTCTCTAGATGGAGAAAAATATTAAAAGTATATTTCACGAAACGTCTAAACAATCTTTAATAAAATATAAAAACTCAATTTGCAATACGTGAAATTAAGAAAATGATATTTTTGAAATTAAAAAAATGATATTTTCATTGTATATTTGAAAAGTATGTCTGAAAAATATACTCTAAAAAAATGCTTTATGCTATTTGTTGGGTTTATAAGTTGCCGAATGTATTTACTGCAAACCTCTGTCATAACTACAAAATTCAAAAATCATTCACCTCACTTCCGGTGACCCAGTATTCGTCGCTCTATATAAATGGGAACTATTCATAATTTTGATAAAAGACACTATATAAATGGGAACTACTCTTAATTTTGATAAAAAAGACCCTGTGTGGGAACTATTCATAATTTTGACAAAAAGACGCCATAAATAACTAAGAACTATGCACAATTTTTTGTCGTGATCCAACTGGGTTAAATCCCGTAATCCACTTGATGGCATTTTCGAATTACCAAAATCAAAAACTACACAGCCAGTAAACGACATAACGAGGCTCAAAGCATTTCTCAAAATTCAAAACGTGCTGCTCTTTCGTGTGCTGCTAAACTCTGAGCTATCACCTTTTTTTTCGTGGGCAATAATTTGCAGCGCAAATTGCACTAAATTCAAATCTATAGAGGAATACACTATTCAGATTTTAAAATATTTGCACACACAAATTTTTTTTTCCGCCAGTCATCTTAAAGTCTTTAAGCAAACTGAATGAAAATGCTACTCACTATAAACATCACAATCATTAGAACTAGTAGAAGACTGTAAAATCTGAAGGACCATTCTTCTTTATTTCTAGGAAGAGGCTGATATTGCGGATCAATTTCCTTGTAGTAAATGTCTGCCTGGTCTTTGATACTCAGGGTTGATTGTCGACGACTGTATATGCTTTCTCTTTTTCTTAAAAGAAAAAAGAAACACCAATGAGATCAATGATAAGAAAATAATAATCTAAACTTAACTATACAAAATATAACAATGCCAACTTCCTCCGGTAAACACAATTAAAATCGCATTGTCGCTTTAGTAAATGTTAAAAATTCAGTCATTCTTCTTCATTGACTCGAGTACCCCGGATGAACCCTGCCTTACTCCATATGTTATACACTTGAAAACAGTCACCAAAAGTTCTGCTTTTGGCGACTGTTTTCGAATTTTTAATTATTAGAATGTTGAGGTCTTTTGCTTCTGTATCTAGGTATCCGAGTACCCATGAGCTTTGCCCGAAAAATCTTCTAATCTTGAAAATACAAATTTATTGTCTCTTCTGTATGGCGATGTGTATACATCAATAAAAAGTACACATCGTTTCACATTAGATTGCTTACTAAAAAAATAACCTAAAAGTAAAAATATTGCAAACACTAAAGAGTTAGAATCCCTTTGTTGTCAGGCTAACCATGGGAGGTTTTGATAGTTTTTCTCTCCGTGTAACACTAATGTGGGTTATGTGATCGAAACAGTCTTCTTGCATTCTAACCAGATGACTAGCCCAATTTACTCTTTAATATTAATTCGCAGAGGATGTTAAAAAGTCCATTTACTTTATTTCACCTCTTTACCCGCCCTTTTATTGGTGCATTCTAAATATTGACATGTACCCGAGTCATAGTAAAAATAATTACATATGCATCGTACCATAATTATGTGGAATGACAGGTTATTACACTTCGGCAGAACTGGAGAAATAATGGATAAAGATTTGTTTAATAGATGAAAATAGTTAATGTTCCGAGTAAGAAAAATTTAAAATTACCCATTACAGTTTGAAAACTAAAATTCATCTCTTGATTGATGTTGATTTCATGAAATAGTTTTTGAAAAAAACTTACCAAATAGGTAACTTAGTCCATTTCTCAGAGAATGAAATCCCTGTTGCAAGACTAATTAACACTTTTGACGGTGCTTAGCTTATTTTCCGGATTTCAGTAAGTACAGAAGTGTTTTAAATCAGACTGATAGTTTTTTAAAATTTATAAGAGGAAAATGGTTTCAATTTTTGCTGCAAGCTCATATGAAAAGAGCAGTGCATAAATTTTTCCACCGTGCATTTGTTCATCCAACAATCAAATAAAAAGGGGCAAAAACGAAATTTTATTAGCTATGAGGTTCATGTTACAATATTTTAGAAATGTCTACCATCTGTCACAATCTCATGTTATCCGCGGAAGACGGCATGCATCGAAGTGAAACCGAAAAAAAATGCAGAAAAGGCTTGTGGAGGCTGTAGGAAAAAGTTTGAACCAAGAACTAGGAAGTCTGGTCTGCCCAGTCACAATAATTTGCTGCAAGTGTTGTTTTCCGAAAACTAACTAGTTTTTTCTATTATTAATTTTTGAAAAACTTCAGTCTATTTAAAATTCAAGAAACAATTTAATAAAAGAACGTAAAAAAATATCTTCAAATTCATTTTTCGCACTAAATTTATCGATGCATTTTGACGATATAAGTCACTTGTCATATGATATTTCAGAAGGTAAAACAAAATTTCATACCTACTTTTTGTAGCTGACAATTTCTACTTCATCCATGTCTAAGTAAAACATTTCATTGTCTTGAGCACAGTTTTTTACGTATGAAACAGTAACTTCTGTAGCTATTGAAAGAGTAAAAAAAATTACGTCAGAATATTTTTTTAAAAATTTTATTAAGAAACTAGTTAAAAAAATCTTAAATTTGACGTTATTGTTAGAAATAATAATTTTTTTCTTTTTAAACTCATTATACGCTTGCCTCATAATACGCTGCACACGTAATATAAATACGCTTGCACTACGTAACACAATAAAGGAAGGTTTATTTCATAAAAGTGTATATATAAATAAATTTTTTAAGAAAGTGACTTTTCAAATATTTGTTAAAAAATTATTTTTCTTAAATAACTTCGATAAATCCAAATTGATTTTTGTATTATAAGGTGTAATAGTGATGCATATAATATTTATTTAAACAATAAAAATTATAATAAGCTTTTAAAAAATAATTAGAAATTTTACCTTTTGGTGTCCTTGTAAAATGAATCCACAAACGTACGCTGACAACGATAAAGCAAAAAGCTTTGATCACAGTCGATGTAGTTAGCTTTAAAAGAATAAAATGAATAAATTAGTATTTGATAGTTTAATTAATAGATACTTTAGACCAAGTAAATAGTGTTTGGAACATTAACTCACGGTGGCTGAAACCTCAGCCAAAGTTCTATTCTCTAATTATCTACTCAAATTTTCATTCAATGTCTTAATCATACACTTTTAAGCGTGATTAGTACCATTTTATAAAAAAATATTACTCGTATGTATTCAAATTATAAAACTAGTTAAAGGAATTATTTAAAGCATTATTTTTGGGGGGTACTTTGAATTTAAACTGAGCACCAAGAAATTGGTTTCAATTTCTTTCAAACCAATTTTCATGTTTTTTATTACTTTCTGAATGTTTTGGAAATCAATAATTCCTGCTTTACTAAATTATTCTTTTCACTATCGCTAGTCTGCAATTTATAAATACTCTAGATTGCTGTAGTCGATGGTATAGCCTATATTTTGTATTTTGATGCACGTGATTCATGAACTAAACGTAAGAGCTACAGATTTTAAAAATTACATATGTACGTTTTGAAACGATTTTAATACGTGTGTTTTCAATACCAGTTATCAAAATTCTGTTCAACAACTGTTCAGTGAATGTTTACCTTCAAGCAATTCGAAAGGAGTTTTTTTTAAAAACATCCTGTATATAAGTGCGAAATAAAAATATTAAAATAAAATAAAACAAAAATTAAACACTGCAGTTTTCAAGTCATTGACTAAAAAAGTAAAAATTTCATTTTCTTCACTCTTAAAACGGAAAAAAATAAAGTGCTCAAGAACTGTTTGAATGACGATGCTCTCTGCATGTTTTTCGTTTTAGATCAGGAGAAAATGAAATTATTTTCTCATTGTTTGTTTACTTGTACGCAGTTATAAAAATTTTATTATATTATATTATTTGAATCTTATTTCTCATTTAATATTTGTTTATACCAGACAATAAATTTTTATGACAAAAAATTAGGAAACAAGTGTAACTTATACTAAAATCAAGCAGAGAAAGCTCCAGTCTGAATAAACTCCGAACACTCTAGTTATAGAACGAAAAGTGGTTGAAAATTTGATTAGCAATAAATTCTATTTCGAGTCATAAATTCTAATTGAAGTGACGAGGAAATGATTGTAACTTGTATCAGCATCTATTATCACACAGTAAAGCTCCAGCTTAGTTTTGAACAATAACCAGTCCAAAAGTGGTCGAAATTGCGATAATTTCTATGAAGTATCAATAAAAATTCTTCTTGCATCGGTTAGGAAATGAATGAAACAGAAATACTATAATTTAGCACAGAGCTCCAGAAAAATTTTTAGAGCGCTAGCAAATCAAAAGATGATAAACATTTCAAAATTCACCTAGGCGATAACAACACGATAAATCCTGTTAATAGTGGCCAGGAAACGATCGAAACAAACAATGCCGTAAGACGTAGACCTCTTATGCAGATCTCCTTAGTTGTAATTTGAAAATATATAGCGTTAAAACATATTAACAACACCGTAGTGTTAAAATTGTTTGTATCGGAAAAAAAAGGGTTTAACCTTATATTGTCATCGAGCATTGAACTCTGAGATCTGATTGATTTTTTGAGACTGGTTAGATTGGGTAAGATTTAAGAGCTCCAGTGGTCGGAAAGTGGTTGGTCAGTGATTTCGATTAATGATAAATACTATTTGTCGATAAAAAAGCAGTAAATTTTGCTTTTAGTAGCCAAAAAACAATTACAACTTGCATTGTTATCAGGAAGGCTGAGATATATTTGATTGCTCGGAAATTTCGATTGCAAAACTCCACTGATATGAACGAGAAAGCAATTTATAAAATGAAAGTAAAAGGGCGATATATTGAAAATCTGTTATCTAATTACCTGTAAATATTCAAAATTTGTATTGGGTAATCCAACGACTAATATGGACTTAACTTCTTCAAATGACATCAAGTAGCTCATAATGACAGTCATAAAAATGCACACACTGTTGAAAAGAGAGGAGGAAAAATAAGATTAAAAAATTTTCTTTTTGTCATAAAATATATAAAAGTTCTTTAAAATAAATTTCTTACCAAAAAGAAATGCCAGAAATTATCCTAAATCTGTTCTTTCCCTTAGCATTGTGTTCGTATGAAGATGAAAATAGCACAGCTGCAGTAGCTACAAGAATATAGCAAGAAATTTCTCCCCCATAATATAGAATTGTTAGAAAGTATATTTCGCCAGAATTCCATTTCAAGAAATCATAGTGCCAAACAATTATTCCGCAGCACTTTAAAATCTAAGGGGAAAAAAAAGAAAAATTCATTACTTGTAGGGTAGCTTATAAAATTCGAGAGTTGCTCATAAAATATATTAATTATACTACACTCTATAACAAAAAAATCGACGCACAAAGAACGCACTAAGACGTGCAAAATCGACGCTCGATCAGGCTGGAATGATACCGACAGGGGACGTATAGTTTTTAGCGACGAATCCCGCTTCCAACTGTGTCCTGACGATCATCGAAGACATGTTTGGAGACACACAGGGCGGAGGGGGGATCCTGTCTTCACTATTGCACTCCACACCGGCCCTCAACAAGGCATTATGGTCTGGGGTGCCATTTCCTTTGACAGCCGGACCCCTTTGGTCGTTATTAGAGGTACACTAACTGCACAGCTGTACGTCGACGACATCCTAAGACCTATTTAGCTACCGTTCCTTTTGAAGCGCTCTGTGCTGGCTTTTCAGCAGGGTAATGCCAGACCACATACGGCACGTGTTGCTATGAACTGTCTGCAAGCTTGTCAAACACTTCCTTGGCCTGCCAGATCAACAGATCTCTCCCCCATCGAGCATGTCTGGGATATGATGGGAAGGCGATTGCATCTGGCGCGGAATGTTGATGACCTCTCTCGACAATAGGATCGAATTTGGCAGGAAATACCGCAAGAGACCATCCGGGAGCTTTATCGGTCTATGCCACGTCGTGTGGCAGCTTGTATCCAGGCTAGAGGCAGGTCAACACCTTATTGGACTTGTTACTGTAACTCTGCAATAAATTATTCAATTGTTCTGAAATTTTAATCATTTACTATTCTGTACATTGTCTTCCTATCCACCAATTTTCGTTTCAATCGGACAACCCCTTCTTGGTGCGACGATTTTCTTGTTATAGAGTGTATTTTTAATGCAACCATTTACATGTATTTTCATATATCTTTAATCAACTAACATTTTTTTCATATTATAACTGCATTATACTAGTCTTGTATTTCGAGCTCAACCATTAAGAAAAAATGGTGTTTTGTTACAAACATTTGAGCAAATTCTACTCTCAAGACAAATCTTTGTGTAAAAGGAGTCCTAGTTTGCATTACGTGGATCAGAATACCACGCAGTTATAGATGAAACATAGGATTTGACATTTTCTAACTTTTTTTTAAATAGCGAATTTAAATATCTTGTGTTTTTACTAGATTTTATGCAACTGGCAAACAGACCATGTAAAATGCTACAAGATTTTATGATTTAATAAGTGGGTCCGAAATTTAAATTTTCTCATAAAAATACTAATTTAAATACTACTAACTCAATTTTAAAGTTTCATTGTTCAAAAGGTGAAATCAAACTCTTACTTGCGTAAAAACAAGAGATGAGATGTAGCAGTATGGAAACTTCAGTCCTTTTTTCTTCCACAAAAACGAAACCAGTACATAAATCTACAAACAAGAAACAGTCAATTAATCATGTGATTTTTTTGATGGGGTTTATTAATACAAAAGCACAGTTTATATGAAGCTTTGTGAGTACCTGTTCTTCGTAGGAGTAAAAAAACGTTACGTCAATAGAGGTAAAGGTGTAAAAACGGACACAGGTATATATATAGGCACCCCTCTTCAAATAGCTGGAGAAGATGGTACAGACTAGCAGATATAGGACTTACTTGTAGATAAAATATATCAGAGAGCAAGAGGGAACATTGTTTCAAGTAATGCTGTGAATTATGTCTTATGAAAATTATTTTGCATTTAGTTAAGTTTTTTCTGAATTGCAAATTTATATTGAGTGCAGGAAATTGTTTTCGTTACATTTTCTTATAGTTAGTTTTAAATAATTTCTAAGTAATCTCTGAAAAGTGGGAAAAATTTAGAAGCATATCTTAGGGTTAACCTTGTTAAGCTACTTTGTTTAGGTATAAGTTTTTTTCACACGCGGAGATGCAAAATTGCAAGATTATGTCTCATCACTGGACCATCAAGCAAAGATCAGTAAATCAAGTCACTTGAGAAAAGTTCATTTATGATAAGATGGTCAAGTTTTTCCGAAATTAAGCCTCTTACAGGTTATATTTTCAGTCCCACTGGCTAGTTCATTAATATACCGCAAAAACAAATGGTGGGATTAGACTTCCTACGTTTTAAAAGTGGATACACATCTGTCAGTCCTTACCTCTCCTTCCGTTCTGAGAAATCATTCAGACCACATAAATTATGACTCTGACTCATGTCGTTTAGAATGTAAGAAGGTAGTAACTCCACTGAGTTTGTGGTCAGACATGCAGATCACGTGGCAAAATAGGAAAAGCTGCTCTCACTTTAGTGACGATCCATGGCATAGAAGGACAAAAAGACTTCAAAGAAAAAATAATGGTCCTTTTAACTTTTCGGTTTATCAGAATTACGAGGCCAGATATTAGAACACAGACAGACCATAGAGGGGTAAAGTCAAAAATTGAAATTTCCTTAGTTTTGTAAAAGCGCAAACAATTTTGTTCAGTTTATGCATTTTATGAAAAAAGAGAGATTTGAATTTTTTGTCTTGTCGAAAAAGGATCCAATCTTTCACTGTTCGGCTAATCTTAACGCTTCTAAATCTTTGAACTTTCTTCCATGGTCTGTATAAGTATTTAACACGAATCTATCAGAAAAGAGAGCTCACCTCAACTTTCAACCGATGTCCTTTCTCACGCCAAAATCGCCGAAACAGACAGAGCACCTGACAGAAGGGACTCAGATGTTTTGGGAGATAGGGAAATATACAACGGGCTTCTTCTATTTATGTTACAGCTCTATGAGACAGTCACAAATCTTTTTTAAATCTAATGTTCAACCTCAATTATGAAATAAAAATAAGGTTTATATTTTTCCATAATCTACCCGAACACCACTCGTAAATATTTTTTAATAGAACGTTATTCAAATAAATCATGTTAACCCTCATCACTCCAACAGGTAGTAATACTGCCAATTCAAAGACTTACTACTTATCTTTTCTAATTCGTTTTTTTTTTTTTTTTAAGAATTTCGTTAGTATTTTTTTCTGAGAAAATAAACTGTCTGTAACTTTTTGACCCGTTTATGAAAATTATAATTGTTTGTGAAATTTCTTATGAGTATTAAATATACACGTTTTAAAGGTAATTATTAAGTAGTGGCAGTTAAGGAAACTTTATTTCTCACCCAAAAAGATTGGAAAGTCAGTGAATCTATTACGAGTTCCTTTATTTTTCAAAAAAAATAATTGAAGTTGACAGAAAATTATTTCATAAAACTCTTAGTAATAATAACCGTAACAATAATATGAATAATAATAAGAAGGGATAATAGGAATTATAAGGGTTATTAAATAAATTTAAAAAAATAAGTCTGTTAAGTAGATTTTTCTATTCCTAGCAATTTAACATCGATTCTTGTTTCAAGGTTAATTCCCTAACATTAACCGAATACACGAAAATTGATACCTGTATAAATATCAAAGTTAACTTAGCTTTAAACCATAAAAACTGAACAGAGTGTGTAACCTTGATAATAAAATTCCTTGAATCAATAAAAATCATTGAATCAACAATATAACTGACTCTGTTTTGTTTGTTAGGGCTTAAATTTCTGAGACAGCCGTACAATATTAAACGATATTTTCAAATGTTCCCCAAAGTTCTTACCAATATCGTTATTTTGCAGTTAAATGAAGCAAAAATAATATGATGCTTCCAAACTTTTCTAATCACGGAGCCCTTGTTTAAATTTATTTTTTGGCAGAGCTTTTTCATAATATACTCTACCACATACGTATATAAACTTTTACATGGCATTCTAAAATTTTAAGTTCTTCAATGACAAAAGAAAATCGCTTTACTTCTTCATAAAAAGGAATTAAAATAGAATAAAAAATATATATGTGAAACGGTAAAATTAAAATTCGTGTCACTTTAAAACTGTTACGCGGAGTGATTACTACGCATTACCGAAACTGTAACGGTCTGCAGATACAATAGAAAAATGAGAAACCGTAAAAGGAAAATTCGTGCACTTTTAAAACTGATACGCAGAGTGATTATTACGAATTATTAAAATTGTAACGGTCTGCAGATACAATACAAAAATAAGAAACTGTAAAAGGAAAATTCGTGCACTTTTAAAACTGATACGAGGAGGGATTATTCGAATTATTTAAATTTTAACTGTCTGCAGATGCAATAGAAAAATGAGAAACCGTAAAAGGAAAATCCGTGCACTTTTAGAACTGATACGAGTAGTGATTATTACGAATTATTAAAATTGCAACGGTCTGTGGATATAATCGAAAAATGAGAAACCGTAAAAGGAAAAATCGTGCACTTTTAAAACTGATACGAGGAGGGATTATTACGAATTATTAAAATTGTAACGGTCTGCAGATTCAGTAGAAAAATGAGAAACCGTAAAAGGAAAACTCGTGCACTTTTAAAACTGATACGCGGAGTGATTCTGACGAATTATCAAAACTGTAATGGTCTACAAAACATGTTCCAACAGTACATGCACGGTGTTTCAATATTAAACCAACAAATTCAGAGGGCTTTAATAACGCTGAAACACACGTAGACTCTGAGTCTAGATGAGACTGGTGGGGGCACAGTGGAGAATCTCATAACGCGGATTGAAGTTAATTCGCATACCTGTCTTAGAGTGCATTCATCATTTTTACATCGTTGTAGATTGCCCAATGACGGCAGTAAATGCCACTTCGAATAAATCTAGTAATATTTAATCCAAAAGATATTTTCGTAATTAACATATTTATAATATCTTTTGTAGTTGTTATTCTGCGTGAATGGTTTTTCGTTACCTGCAAGAGTTTTTCACATTCTCTTAACGTGGTCTAATACCATGAGTTGAACAGTGCGTGAGCGAAAAAAATGGGCCACCCTCAAACTTTTGTAACATAACTTTTGATCTAATGATAGGATCTTCGCATTCTAGGACTCGATCTTAGTGGTATAAAAGGGTGGCCTCAATTATGCAAATAAATTAAATAAAACACTATCTGCCCCCCCCCCCCCAAANTCTGCCCCCCCCCCCCCAAAATACATAATAGGTAGCTGCAATCTGGAAAAAAAATGGTTCATATAGTTTGGTCAGGAGAGCCGTCCGAAGTTCGGGTCCCTTATTGCTAATTTTATTTTTTGCGTATTTCACCATATCTCGAGAACTTTTTGAGCGAATTAAGAAATTTCTTCACTCAAGCATAGCAGTTTGAATCCTTCAAAAAAGACAAAAAATGTATGTTTATTCCGAAAAAGTACGATTCCGTGTCTGATTTCGTAACTTAAAATATCGTATTTACTAATTAATTAGTATTAGCTCGAACCATTAAGATTAAGTTCTAGAACGTGAAGATACGATCATTAGCTCAAAATTATTTTGGGTGTTTTTTTTTGTTTGTTTTTTTCGCGCAATGTACATCGTAATTTCATTAATTGTGAAAGATAATTTTGCTCCACAATCGTTTGCACAAAGTTACGATTTCACTTCCTTGGAGAAAAAAATTCTTGGAATTTGAAACTTAAAAAAATTATAACGAAAACAGTTTTTCTTTTATTTTTCAAAAAATTTAAGCTTTTGGAAGATTATAGAACTCAAAATATGAATATTATTCTCTACACGCAATAAAAAGAATTTTTTCAGATAATCATTAAAAATAAGCATTTCTTGCGCGTATTTTTCTTTTGTGCAAATTGTCAAGACTCAATTTGGACACATATTCATTTATGCTTAATAAAATAAAACAACCAAACTTACAAATATATATACAAATATTTACACATTTTTCAAAGTGGATTTAATTTTTCTTTTGATTTAATATCGAGCTTTAATTGTGTTACAAAATGTTCTGATACGGGCCCGCAATTCAATAAATTTCTGAAATTTCTTACTATTTCTTGTATTTCAGTTTGTATTCATTGTATACTGTATATTTTGCACGCGTATTTTCTTACCAAATACCAAAGTGTTATGAAATTAAGCACAAACGTAAATCTTTAAGATAAATCAAACAAAAGAAAATCTATTTAGATTCAAATCTGATGAATATGGTGGTTCTTGTTGTGTTATAAAAAGTAAGAAAATTTGTCTAACGCAATTTTTAAAAGCATTTCTCTAAGTGATAGCGAAATTCAATTGGAAGATCTATTTTTTGTTCCTTTGAAACCACGAACGCACAATTTTTATTCTAAAATGAATTTGTGATATGATGAGTAATAAATATTTGTTGACATAAGAATTTTCGAAACTTCGGCCGTATAACTTCTCTTCTAAAATAAATTTGTGTTTGTTGAGATAAAGATATTTCGTTGTGATAAGAATTTTAAAAACCACAGGCGCGTACTTTTTCTCCTAAAATAAATTTGTAATATGTTGAAATAAAAATACTTTGTTTTAAACTATATCCAAACTATATCTTGTTACACATATGAAGATTTTTTTTAAATAGAAAATATACTCAGTTTATAAATAATATAATATTTAAACATCAATGACATTAAAATATTTAAAAGATTCTGAGTACTTACATCGCATAATATAGATACACAAGCAATCCAAAAAAGATAATTCTTTAAAACTGGAACATATTTATTCAGATCTTCCTTCAAAATTAATGTGAATCTCGCCACAACATATCCACTTGGAAAACTGAGAAGACTAGTTAGGATTAAAGTTGCACTCATCTGCAAGAAATTATAAATTTAGTCATACTTCAGATTTTAACCTCACATAGGCATTAGAGTTTCAGATGAAAATAAAGCATATTTTACGGTATTAATGAAAAAAATTAAAATATTATAAATAAAAAATATTAGTTGTGTGGCATTTTGCACAAAAAGTTTCAGTTTAGCAAAACAAAACATTTTCAGCTCTGGATGTATGTATTATTAATAAGATTTCATTGAAAAAGGCTTCCCTATGCTTCTTTTTTTTCCCTAACTTTTCACTTAAACCCTATTTCTAATGCTTGATGTCACCATTGCAATTCATAACAACATCTATGAGGAAACTTCTGAAAGCAAAGTTGCTCCCCATTTCAATTATATATATATTTTTTATTTCCAATGAGCTGCACAATCAGTCTTTCCGATGAGCAGACCTAGTGCGTTCTCCAGAAGCGGTATACACTCTTTCAGGACCACCACAATGGGTGAGATACCATTGGTCATGTTAATTTGGACGTCTAGTTTCTGCCACACTAGATGGCAGCACCGAGACTCTATTTGGATGCTCAAGTACACTGGGAATTTAATTTTTCCGGAAATGCCAATTAGGCACTCCAGGCATCTTTTACATGCCGCATAATCATACGACATGGACGCTGAGGATTTTCTGCATCCTGAAAATCCGGTGTCTGGGTCGGGGATCGAACCCGTAAACTTGGGCTCAGAAGGAAGAGGACAATCCAACAGCGCCACCCAGTCATTTCAATTATATATAAATTGTCGGGATTTCTTAATTAGTTAATCTCATTAGTTAGTTAATGTAAACATTGCTGCTGCAAATTTAATATTCGGAGTTTGCTCCACTGAGTTTTTGGAGTTAGGCATTTTTCACATCGAGCTAGAAAGGTACCAGATTGTTCACGAGCACAATTTATTAACATAATGGTGGTAAAACCACAAAAAACAGTAAATCAGTCCACTTAATGGCTTCACAAAATAGAAAATATGAACAAACATAAGCAGCTCTATTACCCTCTACTATCCAAAAAAAAAGGACAATAGCTTGAGAAATTATGATGGCTAGAATACACGGTTTGCTGTGTTCTGTTTAGGAAACAAGTTTTATTTTTCAAAGAAATAAGCAATTTGGTTAAGTTTTTGATAACTTTTAATTATATAGTTACTTCAAAGGCAACGAAATACTACAACGGCTAACTTCTATATATACAGGATCAAAAATACAAAACCGTCATTAAAATGGAATAATTATTTAGAAAAAGGGTGTTTTTGTGTTTGAAATCTTAATTTAAAAAATCACCTGCGCCAATTAATTTCGTTGCTTTTAAGAAAATTATAAGACTCTCATTAGTACACGATAATACAACCAATAGTTAAAAAGTTATCAAGATTTTCCGTTTGAATGTTCCCTTCAGTTTTATTTTCCGCATAGTAAGTATTATAATTACATTCAAGGAAATAATTATAACTTTTTATTTATCCTTTTTGTTAAATGCTTATGCTTTTCGATTTATAACTTGCAATCGAATTGCTCAAAAAATTAGTGTAAAATTTAAAAATAACTAGCTATTGGTAAAAGAAATCTTAAAACTCGAACACACTTTTCTAAAAAACTCACGTGTATTCTATAAGAAACGTCTTTTTCCATGAGTAATAAATTTCACTCAAAAACATATTATTTTTATTAATGCTTCCTAGTGTATCATGCATGCATGTATTTGTTGACGGATGATGCATCCGTATATATTTAAATGAAATTTAATGTCTTCAGTGTATCATAAAAATCTGTTTATGGCATCGTATGCTACATAAAATAAAAATTGGTTAAAACAGCAGTTCGCGTTATTAAAATCTGACCTTTAAACCATACATCATTGCTCATGCGTTTACATGAATTACTATCACAGAATCCAAAATCATCAACAACAAAAAAAGCATAAAATGACTTACAAATAGCTAGCAAATAAAAGAACTTTAATGGGAGACAAAAGTTTATTAACTTTGCTGGAACTAATAAGTCTGACTAAATTAGGAAACTGCAATGCAATCTATTAGAAAATATAGCAATGCATTTATTTTAAACTAATACACAAACACACACATATATATATATATATATATATATCTTACAGTTTTTGCAGAGCAAAACGTAATCTAACCTAAAATTGAACGCACAAAACGACGAAAGTGGTTGTGGCGCTTAAAATATACTAATATAAAGAAAATAATTTAAGCATCTTTGCTCTTATGCTGTCTGCAATTCCCCAATAACCTCATTTTTACAACAAAAGAAGAAAAGGTTTACAAAGTTTAACAAAAGGTTTTCTTAATGTTTTTATACCACTTGTCATTACTTGTGTATTATTGAAAAACACAGCACAGAAGTTTAATTTTGATGATGGTTTTCTTTATATATTTAAGCAAATTTTTTAAAAAATTTATCAATTACGTAAAATATTGAGTTTTAAAAAAAAAGTTTAGTATATATACATATATATATATATATAATTTTAATGGATCTATGTACAACAGGTTCATTAAATATATAAATTGTAGTTACCGAAGCAAGCGGTTTCCGAAATTCTTGCCCAGATAAGAAGATAGCAGTAGCAGGTGAAACTATTCCGTATAGAAGACCAAAATCAGATAAAGGTCTGGCTGCAACGGAATCTCCTACTAGCAGTTTTATAAATGTATGTAGAATTATCGGTGTTAAAAACCTGAAAAATTCGAACAACTTTTTTTAAGCAACCAGAATGAGTAATTCTGAACATTTACTAGAATGCTATCAACACTATTTATTTAATTTGCTGTAAAGAGCTACTATTTTATAAACCAGCTCCTGTGTCCAAAAAAAAACGGCTCGGTTCTGAAATAATTAGGGGTAAGCTAGCGGTAAAGGGTTTACATCCTAATTTACTTTGGTGATGATTGTATTTAGTTTAAGATTCAATTCTTTGATTCAATTCTTTAGTTTAAGATTAAATTGTTTTAGGTTTTAAGATTCAATTCTTTGATTTGGAAAATTCGTATTTTTATAGATACATCGTTTACTCATAAAACTAATGGAAAATATGGACATCTTAACATAATTCTAATATAATTTTTTGTATACTTCAAAATCTATCGTAATATCTAATCTCGAACGAATATAATCTCGAAAAAATATCTGGAACGAGTATTGAATGAGTCAGAATATTATTATATCCACTTTTAAAATTTATTTATCGAAAGATATTTGAAAAAAAATGAAAAAATATATTTAATAATTACTTATTATTCAATTTAATTATGAATTAATTTTCCCATATCTCGAAAGCGAATTGTGCAATTCAAAAAATTATTATTTCCATTCATAAAATCTGTTTACTTGAAAGATATTTAAGTGCAAAACAAAAGCTTTTTAAATAATTTATTATCATTTATTAATTAACTTAATAAAAGTAAAGTTAAATACTTCTAAGATAGCTTTATAATGAAAGAGTACCACAGTTAAAAGCGGTACAAATTATATGCAAGTCAGTTGTCTATTGTCGAAGACAATATGTTAAAAATTCTGTCGACTGGGTTAAAACTATGTAAATTGTAAAACATTAAGGAGTACAGTTGGTGCTATTATGGTGTTAAGTAAATTTTAAGTACAGAACTATAATTATCGTTAAAAAACTAATTAAAATTTGCAAAACATTAGCAAAATATTATTATTAATATTGGCAAAATATTATTATTATTTGAAAGTATTAGTACTAATATATCACTACAAATGTGCTTGTTTTTTAAGCAAAATGTTTCTGCAATGGAGCCATAAATTGATTCTGTAGCGCATGAAAATATATGTTATTAGCAAACAAACAAACAAGCATGAATAAATAAGCAAATTAAACTATGGAGTGAAAAATAAATTAGAAATGTGACTAAATGCACAGTAAAAAAAAATCAATTTGCTTTACCTCCAAAAATAGTCTCCACCAACATTTTTTAAACTGTAATTTAGAAATTAGGTGATTTATAGACGTAAATGCATCCTCAAATTTCACCAAATTTCATACCAAAAATTATGATATTACTTTTTTCTGTTATGCTTAATTTGAATACATGCAAAAATAATTATACAATGCTTACATCTTGATGACCACCAAAACACATGCTGCAACCATCGCGGAAGTGAAAAGGTATCTTTCTTTCCGGACAAAACTGAAGCCTATAACAGCCAGAACCATACCCGGCACAGTATTAGCCACTGCCTAAAATTATTAACATTAGAAATCAAAATTTAAAAAGAAACTAATTGAAATTTTTAAAAATTAACAAAGAAGAGTTATCTTGTCATCAGCTCATACGATTATATCCATAAAAATAGTGCTTTCTAATATTGCATTAATGTAACTAAAGGAAAATATATCTAAATATAGTGTGAGGAGCACAAAAAAAGAGAAAGTGACCGACTCGTAAACAAAATTTAATCAAGTTAAAATATTACAAGAATTCAAGAAAAATTCAAATTCCTCTAAATCGATATGGGAGAAAAGATGTCTAGTAATTAACGGATAAAATTTATTTTATATTTTCGTAGCTAAGTTGCTATGTTACAAAATATCAAATGAAAGCTTAAATAGAGGTTAGTGAGACACAATATTTTAAGAAGCGTTCATCCTGAAGTTAGGAACCGCACTTGATTTGCCTGTTACCTTTTAATTATAAATCTTGAATTCATAGTTTTTCTTTGAAATTTTATCTTTTCTATTTTTAAAAATTCTGATTTTTAAAAGTGATATTTTCTATAAAGGTTATATTTCAGGAATATTCAATGATGTAGTTAATTTGTTGAAGAATATATTTTGATAAAAGAAAAGAAATGAAAAATTAATTTAAAGAAGAAACTCAATCCATTTTGCTGCATTTACACAAAAAATTAATAAAGAAATAAGGAAAAATTATGAGTTATTAATAATTGGTGCGTACAAATGTGTCGATGCTGTATGATATGAATTTATTTTCCATCGATATAAAAAAAACAGGAAAAAGCTGGAATGCAAATATAAAAGATTTTATTAAATGGAAATTTACCAAGTTTATTTTATTATTTCAAGGAAAAATAAATTTCATTTGGAGATTTTTCTACAAGATTGATTGATTTGGTTGAATTGTAGCCACCGAAAAGGAATGAGTAAGGAGCGTGAATCTTAAAATAAATAAAGCAACAAAAATTGCGAAAGCGAAACTTGAAAAGATAGATCCCAGCAACAAAAATATATTATTATATTAGAAACAAAGAACTATATAAAATGGAGCAGGCAAAAACCCGAAAGAAAACTGACAAGAACTTCATAAAATTGAATCTGGAAAAAAAAATAGATTCATGCATATTCCCTCATGGATTTGATTTCTTTAAAATTATTATAACATGAATATTATTTGATTATTATGACTTCTAATCTCAACCCTTTGATGCAGATGGGACACCGGTAAACCTTTTTCAAATTTTTTTCTGGCGCTATTATTACGAGTAAAAATATAATTTTGTATTTTTTANACAGGTTTAGAATTTTCTACAGTGAAAAGTTTTCGGAACTTCAGTATTCAAAAAAGTATACAAAAACTAGACGTTAAGAACGTATCCAATGAGCGAGCAAAGCGAGCATTGGATTGCGAAGCAATCCGAAATGAACTGCGAAAGCAGTTCCGGGGGTTGGCGAACAGGGGGCGAAGCCTCCTAGTATTATTATATTAGAAACAAAGAGCTATATGAAATGGAGCAGGTAAAAACCCGAAAGAAAACTGACAAGAACTTCAAAAAAAAGGATCTGGAAATAGAAATAGATTCATGCTTATTCCCTCATGGATTTGATTTTTTTAAAAATTATTATTATATGAATATTATTTGATTATCATGACCTCTAATCTCAACCCTTTGAAGCAGATAGGACACCGGTAACCCTTTTTCAAATTTTTTTCTGGCGCTATTATTACGAGTAAAAATATAATTTTGCATTTTTAATCATAAAAACAATTTAATAGTTATTAACAAAACTGTTAGACTGTCTGAATTATATTTGTACTAAAACATAAAATCCAAAATAAGTAATCTGAAAATTTTCTTTTTCATTCATATTCAAAAATTTACCAATCATTGATTTCATAAATTAATTAAATTTCAATGATCAATGATATTTTCGTTTAGATCTAAATAACTTCAAGTAAGTGCAAATTTGAAAAATTATTGTTTGGAAATGAGCCGATATTAGCCAATATTATAAATATTATAAATAGTCACCGGCGTTTCACGCTGTATTTCATAACCATAAAATATTACGGTGCAAAATATAATATTTTTCACTTTTAAATACAAAATATTGAAAAAACTATGAAAAATACATATTCTGCATCAAAAAGTTAAAATAATCATCAACTACAACTATTGGTTTTTTAAAGGGGAATTAAATTATAAAATAATAACACAAGAAAAATAAGAAAAATAGAAAAATCCAAACATCAAAATGTATAATTATAGGACTAACTAAGAGACGTTATGGAGTACTGAAAAGAAATCCGGTTTCATTCATACAAATCGAACCTAACAATCACTAAGTCAAAATAAATAAAAAAATTTAATTACTATTGTTTTATTCTCAAATTTTTAAAGCCTACATATATATGATAAACCAGAATTTTTTAAAGTTCGCGAGTTTTAATTAAAAAGAGTAATAAAAAAGTAGTAATAAAGAAAATATTTAATTATTATTGAATTTAATACCAAAAAATTAACAGCTACACATCCTTAAACAAGCACAAAACAGACAGTAGAATTCGTTTTAATTGTTCAAATTAAGTTATGAAGAAATGTAAAAATTATGTGCATTTTAATAATGTATAAATTATTTTATCTGAAAAATGATGGCAATTATTTTTGCATGACCTATTTAGAATTCAAGATATCTAAATCTTTAAGTGATGAAATAAACATTTCAGGATTGATGTCATGTATAAAATCATTCATGACAAATTTCTCATTCTACTAACTATTATATCTGTCCTTATGAGTTAATGAATAAACATAAAACATCCTGCTAAAACATTTTTATGAATTCATAAATCTTTTTCTTTATGTACATTAAACATTATTCTGTTCTAAAAGAATACATCATTATCATCTTTAATTAAATTTTAAAAGGAATTAATTTATGTTCCTTGTATAGAATGGCTTTTGCATTAAAAATTAATTCATCACTTATAAATTCATTTTAAAGCATTAATCTAATCTACTGTTTAATATTTTATGATAATTTTTCTTGAGAAAGTTTATTGTATCTTTGTGAAGAGACTAAAACCATAATAAAATGAACATCACTAAATCACTAAATAAGATTTGCTATAGCTATTAAAAAATTTAATAAATTTTTTTCCTTTTTTTTCCATTAAGTGACTCATAATTTTATTATCGAATCAGTTTTCATGTTTTATGATTCATAGTTTTTTTGAAAGCAATTTTTTCTAAGCAGAACAACGCATAAATTTGCAATTAAAAAATATGTAATAAAATCTTTATTTCGTCTTTCCACGAAAATATATTTATTCGAATTCATGCAAACTTAATAATTTAATCTTCCAGTTTTTTTTCTCATTATCAGAAAACATCTAAATGAGCGTTATTACACTTTATTGTAAGCCATAAATTGTAAATTTCCGTTCAAATAAGACATTATAGCTAATTATTTAGCTATTATTTTCTAATTATTTAGCTAGCAATATAGCTATTTATTTAGAACACTAAGGTTATTGACAAAACATAATCTATTTTTGTATTTTTTCAATGTTACGTAATTTTATAAACTTTTGTAAGACTCATCAATAGAAATTTCTTTAAGCTGTTATATATTTAAAAATTCAGCAAAGCAATTAAAATTTAATAAGGAATTCCCGCATCAGTTTGAATTAAAAAATTTAACTTTTCACTTTTAAGTCCCCGTGTCTCTTTAATAGCGAATTCAGCAATCAAAATCTATCGCTAGTACCACTAACGCTAGTAATTTATATAATTTACAAAATTTACATTGCTTACTTTAATTCAGGGGTATATTGTTGATTGCTGATCAAAATCTACTTCAAAAATTTACTTTTTTAAATGAAAATAATCTTAATTACAAATGTGGATTGATAAGACTAAAACCGTATTGATACTCCAAAAATAAACTTGGAATTAAGGGGGTTTTCTGATCTAGAGATCCGATTTAAGTCTCATTTTCAACACTATTTTTCTATAAAATGAAAAAATGCGTTATATTATGATTTCATGGTTTCATTCATTCATCCCCTTTCCGCTATATTTCAATATTTTCCCCCCGATATAATTATAAACTAACCTATAAAAATAATAGATATATCAGTTCACGTTGTGCACTGGTGGACGGGAGTAGCTCAATCTCCATACTGTATAACCTGAGGTGAACGAAACCGAAAATTGAAGGTTATGCATGAATGTACAGTACTTGTGGTTAGAACCAAAAAAATTCTGAAAAACTCTTTTTTTTTTACTAAATGGTGGCCATTTGAAAAAAAGATTACGAAAAACGACTTTTCTCTGGATTTAAAATTAAATAGAAAAATCGAAATTTTGGAAAATGTTTGATTTCTGTTGATTTTAACCATGACCACGTCACTTCTCTTCAAATATCGAGACCAACCTCAAAAGCGAAGGAATAGTTTTTCCGCAATCCAAACTCCCAGCAAAAGAAACACGATTTTTGAGAAATCACGTTTGAAGTTTTTATAACGTTTTTCATTGGTGTTTCGAAACTTACCATCGATCGAATCCCCATACAGCACGCCTTTCTCGAGATTATACATTTCGTTGGCGTGCCTGGCAGATATGGCCTCTTTGCTGGAGGATGAAACGTAGTGCTCCGAGCTTGCAAAGCGAATTTTGTTGCTAATTTGCAAAACTCGAAAGTCGTGCAGCCAATTCGAATACCCATGACATCCATGATTCTGATAATCTCCATGAGACATCATTAAGATCATAATTTGCAACTTTGAGCCACGTCTTAATTGGAATAGGTGCCATAGAGAAACTATCCGAAAAAGCGAATTTGGTGGTTTGTTGTTGTTTTTCCTGTTCGCACCAACATATCTTTCCAGTAAATTGCCATTTGGCAGGTCTTCGTATGAAAGCCTGGTTGCCTCCTGCGCCTTTCTTGAGACTTTGAAGATCTGAAACGGCCAGTCCAGTGATCGCATTTTTCAACTATATCAAATAGTTTCCGAACAAAATGGTTTCACCCACATGCACTCCTTATTAGAAGGTTTCGAAATATGCAATAAAAAATCGATTTTTTTTTTAAATTTAAGACAAGAAACCCTCCTTATCAAAAATTTACTTCTACATGGTTTTTAAAGCATAAATAATTCAAAATTTGTTACATACTTCGAGAGGTTTATGTAGAGCTGCGTGCATATGTGAATGGAAAATGAAATTCAAAATAATGCCAGATAAAGTTGCTATGGTAATTGGAACGCTGTATTTTAACATAGATCGGAAGGCCGCTTCGAAACCATTCATCCATACATCACAACTTGATGTCTTTTCTTCTTCTTGTGTTCGTCTTCGTTTGTGCAGTTCAATCAAGAGATGTCCCAGGGGAACAAAAATGAGAACGGTAAGAATGGGCATGAAGAACAGATATTTTATCATGTGAGGTCTGCTCTCTTGATACAAAGCAGACACTGAAAAAAAGTACTATTTGTTAAAAACCTTAAAATTGTTACAAGCATATTGCGTAAAATCATATACATGAATAAAACAAGTACTATATAAAATCACAGGTACGACTAAAACTAGTATTTTACTGAAAATCAGTGTTACGAATTGAACAAATGTTTTACATAAAATAACTGTTACTCGTTCAGAATTCGATAGTTTTAATGAGTTGATCATATAAAGCCAACCACCATATAATAAGGTATTTATAAACATGATATTCTAAGGAAACAATAAAATAATAGTTTAAAATTTAAAATTTTTTTTAAACATGGAAATTCGATTAAAAAAAAGGAATTATGCTTTTTTTCTAATTATTCTCTTTTAAAAACGTAGTTCTTAAAAGAGAATAAAAGATAAAGGAATAATTCCATTCACACGTAAAGCAAACAGTGTCAGGCGCATCACTTTTAACAAACGTGTGAGAATTTTTAGCTGTGATAAAAGCTTATTATGAGTTTGTAATTATAAAAGTAATATAAATTACGGTTTTTGGTTTAAGTTTTTAAAAGAAAATTTTCTTTTTAATTTCACTTTAAAACATTTTATTTTTTAAGTTTTATTTTATTATTGCTTTCTTTTAAATTTTGTGCGTGGTATATGCTTTATGTCAGAAAGTGGAGAAAATTTTACTAGATTTGAACTGAAGACAATATCTCTAAATAAATTTTACTTGAGATTAACATTTATGATAAAACTTTAATCTTCATGATCAATTTTGATTAAAACTTGACATCAGACACAGAAATCCTGTTACGATTTATTAAGGATAATATATTATGCAATTGTGTGACTATACTATAATGTTACAAAAAGAATTTTTTTCTTCTATCCGGATATTGATTTTATACATTTGTGTATCAAAATGAGTAGATTTGTTGACCACTCCATCATGGGCACCATAGTAGGTGGGCCAACGTTACTTTCACAGTAAGAAAGACAGGTAGCACAAAGGGAAAAAAAGGAAAGAACATCCATGACCTTATCCGGGATTCGAAACCGGGGCTTTTCTGACTTGATGACAGCTCTCTGACCAAGGAAAAATGATTTCTTTTTAATAAAAAAGCTTTATTTTAAAATAAAATAAATAAAAATAAAGAATAAAAGGAACTTTTTTATAAATAGTAATGTAAAAAATCACTTTTCTAAAAGTAATTTCTTGAAACATTTCAAGATATATAATCTTAATGATGTCAGTTTATATTTTATGGCATCACGACGATGCTTAATGTAACTAAGTTTCAACAATGAAAAAGAATACCTAGTACTTACAGTAAAAACCCTGAACAATAGACAACATTTTTTGGAACAGTTATTAAAAGATTTCGCACAGTCACCAAAAATTATTGAGTGTCAAAAATCATCTTTACCTCAAACTGATGATAACATTTCATTAATGAATGTACTGTAAGTGATCTGTCAAAAAATTAATATTCTCTTCCTAATGTTATTATAAGGAAGAAACATTAATTGGAAATTTATTGAAATAACGGTTTCGCAATTTCTGGTCTCCGTATGAGTTATACATAACCATTTCTTCACCACTTCAACCAATTAAGGTACCCTAAAACTTTCGGACACAACATTTTAAAATTTTTAATTTAAATTTTTTTTATTTGGAGTTATGGGGGTATTTTACACTAAAATATTACACAAAAAAAAATATGAAGAAAATTTTTTTAGAAAATATGGGAGGAGGAACTGGTCAAAAAACCGAAAATTGACCTCTTTTCAAAATCACACAGCTTTGCTGAAATTTATTATTTTTTCATTATTTTTGCTTTATAGTACTCAAAAAAACTCAACTTAGGGAATAGAATACGTATTAGACATATTATTACTATTTAGATATTTTACAGTAAATATCAAAATTTATTTAGTAAAAAAGGATCAACAATTGCTATTAGTTATTTTTATTTAGCTGCAAAATATTAAATAATAGTTTAATCGATTAGACCGTAGTCTGTTCCTTAGACATGTGTATAAAAATTTTCATGCGAAATTTCAAATAATTTGAACTAAAATAATGTGAGGTATCATATTTAAAATGAAAGAAAACAGCCAAAAAATTAGCTTTCAGGAGAGGGCCAAAAAGGCACCTTTTTCAGTTAGTAGCCAAAATAAATGATTTTTTAAATCATCATAACTTCCGCTCTATTTAATATAGAAACAAAACTCAAACGGTTTTTGAAGGATAAAAATTTATAATTTTATATAAAAAAAATATACAGAAAAACAATTTTTTAGACGAAATTGGTTTAAAAAAAAGCGGGTACCTAAAACATGTTATGGTATATGTATTTAATTGCGTATTTTATTAAATTCATTCATTGTATTTTATTATTTCATTTTTTCTAGCTTAATATCATGGTAATTTGACAAATTTTCTATACAGTGAAAATTTATTTATTTTCACTTTAAAACTTCAAGAACTAGAATAATTAAAAGAAGTGATTTAAGTATTTTAAAAAAGAATTTAAGTTATGTTTAAAAGCAAATTTTCTAACTACATCAATCACTTTAAGAACATATGCTACCCGAAATGTATGAAATCCCAGAACTGGGCAAAGTATGAAATTAATAAGCATTTCATACATTGTCTAGATATTCTATAGGATAAGTAATGATAAACTTACAAAGCATGAAATATTATTAGTCTACATGTTTATGAAGTATGATTACGATTTATTGATAATTGTTAAAAGTAATTTCTTGGAGCAACAAATAGGTAATATTTCATTTCATTTTATTTAGTAAGAAAGGAAAAAATTTAGTTATCTCCATACATCATTAATGATAACTATATTCATTATTATATAAACCAGCAGGGATAAATAGATCATTATCCGGTATTCCTTTTATATATATATATATATTTTTTTATGGAGAAAATCTGTTGCCTGGTATTCTTTTATGGGAAAAAATCATTGCCCGACACTCGTGAGGGTAACTTTTAAGGTAAAGAGCTATCGTACGGTATCCCCTATCAATGTTATTTTTTATTTAAGTTTATATTCAAGGGCAATTACTCGGCATTTCTTTAAGCCAATACTTCACCTAATTGGATATTATTGATGAAAGCCAAATCCCCTAAAGAAAAAAATTGTGTCTGATAAAAGTAGTTATTTATATAAAAAATATTTTTCTGAAAAATTATCTCTTGAAAAAATACTTCAAAGTAAAATCCTCAAAGTCAAAATGGTTAAAGTGTTTATAACAGTCATATTTTTTTCGTAGAATTTTTTTCTTTACTTTTCTTTTTTCGCTAGCAGTTAATGAAAACAATCTTCAAAACAGGTAAAAAAAAATCACTAAAATTTACGGGAACATACGAATATATTTGACAATATAATTTATAGAAAACAGTTTCAATAAAAGTTGCCTCTTTCCCCTAAAGTAACCTAAGATTTTCTTGTAAAAATTACTATTATTATTTATTTTGCACGCTGCATTGAAAAACTTTAAATAAAAACTATGGTTATCCAAACATTTGTAAATCAATAACATGAACTGAAAATATTTCTATCAAAATTTTTTAGTGATTTACATATTATTAATGCAAAGTAATTCGTAACGATCACTCTTAACATGCATAATTAGTATTTATATCGCAAACTAATATTTACGCAAGTAAAAATCTAAAGTATTTTCGAGTCACTAGAAATTATGGAATGAGTTTAATACCGATGAAAATCACTAGTAACTTCGAGGAAAGCTTAATGAAATTTAGATATACTACAGTCAAACCCCGCTATAGTTAACACGGTTTATAGTGAACTCCCGGATATAGTGAACGAAATGTTCGGTCCCGTGCCTTGCTATACACGTATAATGTTATTTTTTGTGGATATAGTGAACCAAAAAAGTCAGAAAGTTGGATATAATGAACTTTTTTCTGTCTTCGTTTGATTTTTTTCCTCATTTTTTTCGTAGATAATAATTTTAAAATTTCTACTCAAAATAAATACATATAGGGGAGAGTCGGGTAGCCCCGCCCGGCGAGTACCCCCGCCCACTGTTAATTTCATATGTATAGAATATTTTTTCAAGTCAATGGGCCATCGGACATTAATTGTTATATTAAAAAAAGATTATTTTCAAAGTTTCAAGTATTTATGCAGCTGGTAACATGGTAAACAATAGTTTTGAAAATATGTTGAATACAGTAGTCATGAAATTAAGAAAAATTGGTTGAATGTTTCGATTAAACTTCATTTTAATACTAAAAAAATAATTTTTTCTATACATACAGCATTAAAGTATGTAGTCTTAAGTTTAATTTGCACAAAGAAAGAAGTTTGTATGTAAAAAATTGTTCGAGTAATTAAAGACACTTACTCAAATCTCAATTTATTTTATAGTCTTTTCAGGTAACAGTGACATCTTCTGATGTACTTCGTATTGAATTTTAGTACATGCGTGAGTTTCCTTCCTGTTTTCGACGCTGAACGCTACAAAACCGTAGGGGAGAGTGGGGTCAATTGTAACAGGGTACGATTGTAACAGAGCAAAAATTTCGAGTATCGGGTTCTAGATTTGGTTCCTAGGTGGCGCACAAGGTGTATTTAATAAATC